CAACCCAAGAGAAACTATTCCCAGGCTTGTATGCACTGGTTAAATTATCTGATGGAGATGGATCCCAATCTGCACCTCCAGCACGCCAGGAATGGAGCTGAAAAAGAGTTCACGTGTGGAGAGGGCCAACATCGGTACAGTGTGGATGGCTACGATCCAGCGACAGGTACCATCTATGAATTCCTGGGGTGTTTCTGGCATGGGTGCCAGGCATGTCACAAGACCCAACGTGGAAAACCTCATCCCGTCCTGGGCACGTCGTTGGGAGCACGTTATACCAACACCCGCTACCGCCTGAGTCTCTTGAGTCAACACCCAGAGGTGAAACGGATCGTCACCCTGTTGGAGCACGAGTTTACAAAAATGCAACAGGAGAACTCCGCTCTGTGTGCTTTCTTGCAGGGACCCCACTGTATCCACGTCCCTGGACCGCTCAACCCTCGTGACGCCTTCTATGGAGGACGCACCAATGCCACATGATTATGCTACGAAGCCCAAGAAGGTGAAACCATCAAGTACATCGATATTTGTTCCCTTTATCCGTACATTTTTAAGACCGGAGCATTTCCCACGGGACACCGGACCCTTCTCCATCAACCACCTGTGAACACGTTGTTTGAGCTGAAAGGACTTATCCAATGTCGTGTCCTACCCCCGAAACGACTCTACCATCCGCTACTGCCTTGCAGATCAGGTGGCAAACTGCTCTGTCCTTTGTGCCGTACGTGTGCCGATACCCGGTCAGACTCCCCCTGCAAGCACACGGACGAAGAGAGGTCATGGGTGGGTACGTACGCCACCACAGAACTCCATGAAGCCGTGAAGAAGTATGACTACCAGGTGCTTCAGATATACGACGTTTGGGATTTTGACACCTTTGCACAGCATGACCCCGACACCCAGCAAGTAGGACTCTTTGACACTTATATCGATCGTCATTTCAAGAAGAAGCTCGAAGCCAGCGGATACCCCGAGGGATGTACGGATCACGAGGCTTACATCCAGGAGATCTATGACAAAGAAGGCATTGGGTTGGACAAGGACCGCATCGAAAAAAAGCCCAGGACTTCGCACGATTGCCAAGATGCAACTGAATTCGCTCTGGGGCAAGTTTGGACAACGGTTAGACTACAGTCAGAACATCTATATGAACGATCCTGTACAGTACTTTACCTTGTCATCGTGGTCAACGAACACATGGTGGAAGTGACCTATACGCACAAGGAAGAATTCCAAACCCCTCATTCTCATTTCAATGTCGCCATCGCTGCTTGGGTCACCGCCCAAGAACGTCTCAAGCTGTACGAGACCCTTGCCCTGGTGGGTCGCAGGGTCTTGTACTTTGACACGGACAGCGTCATTTACATTCATCGACCCCACGACGCGAATCCAGAGCTGGGCCATTCGTTGGGTGAGTTTACAGATGAACTGGACGGAAACACCATCAAGACGTTTGTGTCAGGAGGCCCCCAAAACTATGGCTATGAGTTAATGAACCCCAGACCCGATGGAACGTGCACGACCTGCAAAGTGCGAGGGTTCACTTTGAATTACAGAAACCAACAACAACTCCACTTTGACACCATGAAAGGACTCTTGTGACCCGACCCACCCGAAAAGACTATCATACCGTGTACGACAAGGGACGTCTTGTCTACGACGAAACCACAGGGCTGCCTGTAGACACGCTCCCCTTTAGGTACAGAGACGACCAGATCCTTTATTTTTTTTATTTCATCACAACGGATCGAAACTGAATCGACATGGACACCTACAGAAAAACCGGATCGAAATCTGACCAATCAGAAGCTTGGGTTTTCGACCAATCAGAGGGCCGCCTTTGCGTCCGATAATACGTTGATTAATTGCTCATTGTTATTTAACTCAATGGATTTTTTAGGAACTGTGGATGTTATGAAAATAGTTGTCACGTGGGCTTTCTCAGCCGACCTTTGAGACTTGACACCTATGTGAAACACCTGAAACAATCTTAGTGATCAGTAGAGAAACGAACACGGGTTATAATATCCCGAAATGATATATATATTTTAAAATATTTGATTGTTACAGTGACACGTGACATCGAATACGTTTCTTTGTACAGCTGCAGACGTTTGGGATATTGTTCCTTTGGGTTGATATTCACGGATACATTCCTCGAACAAGGAAGCTGCCTAAAATTATACACATAAATTTGGTAGGTTGTAATTATGATATTCGCATTTTGTTTCCCTTAATTTCCAGTAGCATTGGACAGATTCATTCTTGTTCCTCTACGTCTTAGTTGGTAAATTCTTCGATGCGCGATAGACGTTGTTTTCACAAGCCTTTTACTTTGTATATTACAGTCAATTTGTAAAATGTGATTCTCTCAGGCAGTTTATAAAATGTGTAAATATTTCAGTAATTTTGACTGAAAAATCTGTCCATTTCTTTAACAGATTGACCAAAATTGATTAAGACGATCAATAGGTCCTAAAAACATCACAATAGATTATTATGTAGGATTAGAAGCCAAACAATATAGAAATGTACTTTTCAACGTAACATTTTCAGTATCTTGGTGATGACAAAAACATAAAAATGTTTCGAATTTGTTGTCATAATAATACTGATGGACATTTTTTTCAGTCAATTTGTAAAATAACTGAATATTCAGGTGTTTAATACATTTCCTAAATGAAAATTTTGCACATTTTGACTGTAAAAATATAAGCACGATAAAATAAGCAATGCTCAGGAGAAATATTTACTTTGTGTTCCAAGTCAAAATGGTGTAAACGAAAGTCGCACAATTACCATGCAAGTGACTTATCAAAACTTCGTCACCATTACCGATGCTACCCACAAAGGTACCTAGAATCTACATGTCCTTATTATTTCCATACTGTATTTCATTTTGTTGATCAATGTGACCATACGCCCTTATACTATCAATAAAAGTGACAAATGCGCTTACGAATTGCGCAGCACAGGTTGCGAACTAGTCTAGGTTTCTGCTATATCATCCGGGTACTCACGGGAAAAAAACAATAACAAAGGCCCGGGGAATTGCTTTAGATCAGTGCCCCTTTAAAGCCGAGGGCCAGACAGGGTAACAAGTACCATCTTTGAACGTCTTTTGGTATAGCGCGGCCGGAGATTGAATCCTGATCGAATCTACATAGACCACGGAGTATAATAAATAAAAGGTGCGTAGTCCTTTGCTTTCTTGACATGATTCATTTTGATAAAATTAGAATGTCTTGATAACTCCGGCTGCGGGTATTGGCACCTGATACCAAACGCTTGTAGATCAGGCTTGTAAACTGGCATTTATACCCAAGACCATAGGTTTCTGGCCTGCCCAAGGGTGCAGCTCTGCACAGAGAATGGGTCCTTGAACTACAATACAAGTTAAGACAGGAGAGTTGGTCGTCTCTGGTGGTCACCCAACAGTTCCTGTCCAGTGTTAAGTATTCTCTGAACCCAGTATGGCCAACAAATAAAGAATTTTGTAATCTCAATGACACAACTGACAATTGTTTTTCCCAGGTTGTCACTCAAAAACAAATGACTACCCAATCCTATGGTACATAGAAACTGACACATTGACTGATTGACTGAATGTGTGTTGTTTAATACCGCTCTCAACAATATTCCTATTACATGATGTTAGTCTGTAAAAATTTTGCATCTGGACCAGACAATAGTGACTGATCACGCCGTCAGAGTACAATGTACATGACATCAACCAATTGCTTGGATCGATGCTCATGATGTCAATCTCTGGATTGTCTGGTCCAGACTCGATTATTTACAGACCACCTTCGCATTGCTGGAATATTGCTGAGTGCGGTGTTAAACAAAAATAAACAAACAAACAAACGTAATAATGTTCATGAATCACACAATCATGTAATGGAATGAGAACTGGATAAATAGTTTCAGATTTATATTTAAATATTGGTACTTGGTGGTGATATTGAATTTCCGCTAATGAACTACAAGGGAGATATCTCATTGACTTCTTGTGAAACAACTGGTTTGGGTTAATTCTGAGAGGACCTCATATAGGTCATACTTATTTCCAACACATATTTACATGAATAAAAATTAAACTTGTTATAGCATTTATTGTCATGTTAATAAGTAGATTCAGACATTAACAATCAACATTGATATCGCCAAAACTCATCACTTAAGAGACAAATATTAATATTTGGTGGTTATATTGGATTTATGCAAATGACTTGAGTATTCTACATGTGCCCTTGGGTCTGTTTACCCCAATCTAGAAGTTCAAATCACTCAAATATGTCATCAGAGACCAACAGTGTATTGATATTCTATGTCTAGCCATCAAACTTTTGGTTGCCATCTTGGAATTTTGGGCCACCAGGGGGCTCTGGTGACGGAGTTTCTGTCTTAAAGTGTTAACTTTAATTCAGTGAGTTAGTGTGGCAAGACATATGCATAACTCCTAGCACACTGTTTTAGAGTTAAAATATTCAATAGTCTAAACACACATTTAGTTAACTTGGCAGCCATCTTGAAATTGGTGGCCATCTTGAATTTTTGCACATTTGTCAATGGTCGAAAACATTCAGTTGTCGTGAATATCTTTTTAGAAACATAATATGGCTATTTTGCAATACAACACATGCTTTTTTCATCATTGAACCTCATCTGAAATATGGAAGATATATTGATAATTGGTGGCCATATTGGATTATGCAAATTAGACATGTTTCCCAAACTGGGATTGCTTGGGACTTTTAGTATGTTGTTTTTCGGGACCTTGTAGAAATGCATTGTGGTGAAATAAATTCTGTTGCAACTTGTTTCAAGTCGAGTGAAAAAATGGCCTAGATTGCCTGGACTGCAAGTCTCAGAGCCTGACCATCTGATCTCGTAGTGATCCCTCCAATGACACACATAGGTTGCTGGGGACCAATATTCTTACCCGGAATCCATACTGATCAATACAAAGAGCACTTCTAAATAAAAAAATACCTTGCTTTATAAAAAATCCATTTATTACAATAGCGCTACTACAGACATAGATGCAGTGACGTTTCATGACTGGTGTAATGAGGACAACAGAAAAGATAAACAACGTTAAAAATATTAAAACCTATGACAAGATGACCGGTGATCAATATATACAGTAATGGTGTGTTGATTATAACAGTATTAAGCAAAATGTGATGTCACCATTTAAGCTTAATATCAGATGTTGCATCACAAAGGGTGTAACAATACAAAGCTTGAGCTGCAGTAAAATGTATATCATGGCAATGTCTTCAAAAAGCAATTATAGCAATAAGACTTGTAAACATACAAGTCACACCAGTTTTAGTACTATTTTCACTTAGTGAAAGTTTGAAAGTTCACTTTCAAATATATGTTATCTAAATAAACAAGAACCTCTTACAAAATACCACGTTAAAAGCAGTAGAGTCCATCCTGCTTTATGAAAACACTGTAGACTCTTATATTTCTTATCACATAGACTCATAGGGAGTATTATCTTTTATTTAAGTGTCAATATGGATATAACTACTGAAGACTGATCTGGGGACTGCCCTTGTCCATCAATGGATCATTACACCCCTTGTCATACAGTCAGTGTATCTGTTTGTGGTGTATACCACAGTGTATTTCATGGAGTGTATCATGGTATGTATCATGGTATGTATCATGGTGTATATCATAGTGTATATCATGGTGTATATCATGGTTTGTATATCATGGTTTGTATCAAGGCGTATATCATGGGGTATTTACAAGTCCATCTCTTCAGGGGCGTCAAGATCTCTGTATTCAATGATGGAACGAGGATCCGATCGTCTGGAAAACAAATCATACAATTCATTAAGATGAATAAATATAGCATAAATAACCATATAATTAATTTAAATTAGCCCTGTGTTTATAAATTTTTAGAACTATTTGAAGCTTTTGGTTTCTCATAAATTCTAGCATCATTTGAACCATGTTAAAATGTTTTCAGTGAATTGTCTTGTGAGTCAGAGTTTGAGATATTTTCTCACACATTTTAAAGCATACTTGCAAAGATAAAATATCACCACATAATCATGAAAATCTCCCCGATCAATTCCTGATCTAAATCAAGTTATATACCATGTGTACACGGAATCAATATTATAACAATCATTTAACCATGAGGCACCTTTTAGGCATGAAATCTGTCTAACTAAAAACAAAAACAACGCTGAGGAAAATATCTCAGTTTCAATCATATTCTCCTTAAGCCAGAATGAAATATGTTTTTTCCATAAGCAAGATATTATTACACCAATTCAAGAATTCAGATAGGCTGTTTGTTTGTCGTTGTCAATAGTGTGTGTCTGTATTTGTTGTTTAACTCAGCAATATTCCAGCCATATCTGGATCAGACAATTCATTGATTGATATGGTGAGCATGGATCCACGTTGTCAGGGTACGAAGACAAGCCATCAAACAAGTCACAGAGTCTGACCACCCAATCCATTCAGTCGCCACTTTCGACTAGGATAGTTGCTGGGGTCCATTCCTAACCCCAATACAGTCTGTATGGAACCTTTTTTTTATACTTTCATTGACTTTCCAATGAGAGCAACAGAGGCGTGTCATATCTTACTAAAATATCAAAATCCAAAAGGGTTAGAGAAAACCGAATATAACCATAATAGTATAGACAAGGTACAGAAATTTAAATAATCTCAATGTTGTATATCAAATTCTGTATGATTATTTCATTGAGAATAAACCATTAAAGAACTAATTATTTCCACACCCTTATAGCATCTGTGTAAACATATTATAATCATATATAGTGAAGTGTTTCCTAAATGGAAAAAACTTTATTTTGCCTTAATGAATCAATGCTCAGATCATTGACACATCAAATTATCCCATAGTACTGGTGGTGTTGAAGAGGAGGTAACGTTTCTACACAGCAATTGCAATCGTTTTGGTGATCTTCTACATAAAAATTAACTGAAAGATAGCGCCTTTGTCCTGGCTAAACATTTAAACCACAGAAGCTAAAAACACATACAGGATTTTTTTAAAACCATAAAAAATCTGAAAGGAGAAAATTGAACAGAGGTTCCTGAAAACCACAGTAAGAATAAAAGCAGCTGACAAAACAGAACCTAATTTAAAGTAAAATACAATCTTGATTCTTAACATGCTTCCAATATTTTATATGATGAATGATATTTTCTTTGCATTTTGTCATGTTTGAATTGTTTCTGAATGTCAAGGCCTCAAAACACACTGATCAGAAACAGAGTTGTGAGTATCGCCAAACCTGAATCTTGGCGATCGAGAAGAGCTGAGAGAATCTTCTCTATCTTTGTTTCTGCAAGGTCAAGGACTTGTGTCAAACTTAAGTACAGGGGAAATCTGTCCATATGCAATTTACATTTCTTTTTCCTGTCACAACCTTCCTTCATTTGGACATAATACCTATCGTGGCTGTACAATAGTGTAAATTTCAAACTGTTTCACCAGGAATAATTTCATAATTATTAAGTAATAATTAGGTATGTAATTGCAAATTTCACCCACTGTACATAAAAAAAAAAATCGTAACAGGTAATTGCCAAATCAAAGTTTTTATCACATATATTATCAAAATTCCAAATGTCATTTTTTTTCACTTTCAGCATTAATTTCTGCCAAACAGGTAAGTAAACTCTTTCTGAATTTCTTGTTAATTTCCAAAAAGGTGACACTCCTATACTAAGGAAAATAGCCTGTAAGTGTTGATGTGGAAAGTAACATGTTTTGCCAAAATATAACAAAGTTGAAGGCATCGCCAAACCTGAATCTTGGCGATCTAGAGGAACCGAAACTGTCATCTCTTTGACCTCCAGCTCTGCAAGGCCAAATATCTTGTATCAAAACCAATTTGAAGATTTACACATTCAACTTGACAGTGGCCTCATTGATACAGTATTTCAACCATCAACAGGACTCTTTAAGTTGCCAACAAAAACGCTACCAAGTAAAATGTCAAATAGAGACTCCCGCTAGTATAAAATTGTTTCAACTGAAACAACTGAAGTCATCTCATATCCCACCTTACAGCCAACTAACCCTTCTAAACGAACAACTCTATCCTACACCCCCCACCCTCATCCTACACCAACTACTATTCCTACACCACCCACCCCCATCCTACACCAACTACTATTCCTACACCCCCACCCTATACCAACTACTATACCTACACCCCCACCCTACACCAACTACTATTCTTAAACCCCACCCCCATCCTACACCAACTACTATTCCTACACCCCCCACCCTACACCAACTACTATTCCTACACCCCCACCCTACACCAACTACTATTCTTAAACCCCACCCCCATCCTACACCAACTACTATTCCTACACCCCCCACCCTACACCAACTACTATACCTACACCCCCACCCTACACCAACTACTATTCTTAAACCCCACCCCCATCCTACACCAACTACTATTCCTACACCCCCCACCCTACACCAACTACTATTCCTACACCCCCCACCCTACACCAACTACTATTCCTACCCCCCCCCACCCCCATCCTACACCAACTACTATTCCTACAACCCCATCCTTCAACCCCCAACCCCCCACCCCCATCTACACCAACTACCCATCCTACACCCCCCACCCAGCACCCCTGTCGTACACCAACTACCAATCCTACACCCCCCTCAGCACCCCTGTCCTACACCAACTACCCATCCTACACCCCCCACTCATCCCACCTGTTAAATATGATGACAAGAGGACAGTATCAACAGACATCAAATCTGACAAACATCTCTAATCTACAGAGTGATCATCAGTGCAAACACTATGGCTATCACAGTCATCCAACTTGACCTATGACTAGCAAGTCAATGCAAACTTAAAACTTCCATCAAACAGATAGGAAACCAAATTCCTATTCCAACATACACATAATTTGGGAGGTGGGGACATCAACCTAGAGTTTAGAAAAGTTGCATATTCTGTACGTGTTGGTTTAATCTAAACAGATAAATATTACAAAAGGTGCCTGTAGACTGATCTGTTATCCGTCTCAGTCAACAGCTGATGCTGTGTGTTAACCAGCAACACAATCTGATGTGAGCTCACCTGTATCGGTATGGCCGGCGGTAGTCCACCCTGTACATGTCTCGTTGTTGGAAGTTGTGTGTAAACTGGGGGCCATTGCCTGGAATAAACCAACCACACAATACAACTACAATCATGTTTTATAGGTTTCACATATCCACAGAACTGAGCCATGATGCGATACCCACAATCAAACACTTTCAGCACTATCAAGGATAAATTTAGTATTTGAAAGTACCGGAAACTGGAAGGAAAAAGGTAAATGTTTTTTTCTCTCTCTCACACACACAGACACAGACAGACAGACAGACAGACAGACAGACAGACACACAGAAACACACACACACACACACGTCAGTGTCAACTAAGCCATACTTGCAAAACTAAAACATATTTATTCAAAATTTATGATAACCTGAATTGGGATATCATTAATTGAAATTTGAGAATTATACCAACAATTTCTTTAGACTTGAGGCCTAAAATTAGCCTCTGAAAATGTCTAGATTAATCCCTGACCATACTAACATGCTAGTCAACACAATATGAAACAAACTGCCCCTACACCAACACTTGACATCAGAGCTGTAATTGTATCAACAACCTACCATACATCATGGGAGGTCCCTGCTGGTTGTACCCCCCTCCCATCATGCCCTGCTGGGGGGGGCCCTGGAAACTGTTCACCTGCCCACTGCCACCTCCACCACCACGGCTGTCGTTCTGTTTGTTGCCTGGGTGTTCTGGTAATGCAGGACGTTTTGGATCATGGAGATAGTTGTTGAAAAACGATACCTGCACAAACAAAAGCAAACATGCAAAGTTATTTCAAAATCATAACACATACAAACTGGATCATCCTGTCTTCTAATAAGTATGTCTCCATTCTATTATGACAAAAGCCAGGAGAGATTTGCTACCTTAGTTTTGTTCTGAGCTTTATTTGAATTACACAATATCAAAAATTGCAGAATGACAGAATGAGTGAGTGAGTGAGTTGGGTTTAACGCCGCTTTTAACAGTATTCCAGTTATATCACGGCGTGTCAGCTTAATGTGGGAGGAAAGCCCGAAGTGATGCAGGTCTCAGACCTTTACCACTTCGGTGAAACCCACGAGCACGGGGAAGGTGCTGACAAACCTAGAAACATAATCGGGGCGAACCGGGATTCGAACCCGAAATCATAGGTTTCTGGCGTGCCAAAGGGACGCAACTCTGCACAGCAAATCGCAGAGCCTTAGACGACTGGGCCACCCGTGCCCACAATGACAGAATGAACAAGTTCATGAGTATGTTTTATGCTATTGTTATCAATCTTCCAGTATGACCATGGTGAGAGACACTGAGACACATTGTACAACATAAGCTGTCGTCTACTGTTTCATATAGCTTCTGTGATGCTGCTCACACAGAGGTCACATCAAATCGCATTCTCCGAGGGACACGCCTACAATGAATTTATCCTACTACCTACTTTGTCCTTTATCAAAGTTTGAAAATAAACGGAGACTGAGATGCATAGCATTCGCCATATTGCCATACAACAATTTGTTAATGTTTAGGCTCTGTATATCATGATTGTTTGATTATTGTTTGGCACTCCACAATTTTCCAGCTATATGACCGTAAATAATTGAGTCTTGACCAGACAATCCAGTGATTGACATCATGAGCATCAATCTGTGTAATTGGGATACAATGACATGCAATAACCAAGTCAGCACGCCTAACCACCCAATCCCTTTAGTCACCACTTACGACAAGCATAGTCTGCACAATGTCAACACTTGACCCTGGAACTTGTAGGTGACGACGCATGTGCTACACAATGCTCCTGGTGTGATATAGATGCAAGACAACTCAATTCCTAAATGCAAATTTTGTGCATACCTCTTTTCTCACTTCTTCTACTTTCTCTCCATGTTTGTTGAAGACGTGTTTACGGACAAACTCTGGTCCCTTGAATTTCTTGCCACTGAGAGGACACAGCCATTTATCCTTGGCCAACTCCTGAGTGTTAGCCTGGACGAACTTCTCCACCTCAGTACCAGGTTAAGGAAAGTAACCACACCACATTGATAGCATTCACATTAGTTTGCAGCATCATAATTAGTTAGGCACAGAAGATGAATTTCTACCACAGTATTGTAGGTATAGGCCCATGGGCCTATCTGATTGATTTGGGGTGGGATATTACCTGTGAGTGATCCAGACTCAATCACAAAAAAAAAGAGACAACTCACCCTATACTTTAGCCCTAAAACCAAGCTGTATGATGTCAATCACGTATCAAAGCCATTTCCTTGCAATCTTTACCCCGCTGAAGTGGGATGTAGAAAGAGAGACCGCTTTTCCCATATCTCCACCAACTTCCAAGCAATGTTTGAAAATAAAAAAAATGCCTGACTGCTACCAAGACACACAGACTTTAGAAACTGCAGACACTGACTAAACTCTTCAGGCCTTTATTTATGAAAAAATACTGCAGCTTATTGCGACATATAAATAGGCACATAAATTTACTGCAGGCTATAAGGATCCTAACGAATTGAAACTACGGGCCAGACATGAGATCTACCTGTCACGAGAAGGTGCTCATTTTGAAATCTGCTAGCAAGCATTTGAAACTACGGGCCAGACATGAGATCTACCTGCCCTGCATAGGTGCTCATTTCGATCACTGCTTCCAAGCAGGGGCTTAACAAATGTGCTACAGGTAGATCATCATCACTGTTGAATGTAAAGGATATGCCTCTGGGTCTTTCTTCCCCAACTTGGTGGCATCCTCATTACTGATCTTCTCCGCACTTTCTGTAAACTGTTTTGTCTTGTTCTCAAAGTTGGCAATCCAGTCATTTACTGTCAACACAAACACATAGATTAGATAACATATACATGTCTACTAGAAAGACATTATAACCCCTTATAGTGAGATCATGTTAATCCGGATGGAACGTTCAAAGTGAAACTACCCTGTTTAACAAATGTCTGTATTAGCAGGTCATGGGAAACTTCAAAGGAGTAATATACTACTCAAAAGAAGCAACAGAACACCCAATTCTTTCCAGTTACTATAGTTAGGCATGAGAAATTAATAATAGTAATATGAAAGAATTGGGTGTTCCTTAATTTCTTTTGAGTAGTGTATCTTTTTCTATATACAGTGAAGCCTCGTTTATCCAGACACCAATGTTACTCATAAAATCATCCAAATAACTGAATATCCAGACATTTGAACCTATGTATCTCCTGAACAAAAGACATATATACAATGTGCTGTACTGCGATATGTATTGCAATATATTCCAACTTTTTCTTTGTTACAATTTCCATCCAAACAGTGGACTTGGGCATTTACAGATGTTACTGACTGCAGTGTTTCTATCCCATCCTTCACAAGCTTATTAAGGCCAAAATGTTTCAAATATTTCAATCATTCTCAACCATTCTGAACGCGACCAACAACCCTTAAAGGAAACTCCCAAAGTGTTTTGATTTTATCGTAAACACTGGTTCACGAATCTTATCATATCGCAATCCGTAAACCAGTAATCCTGTGTACCCCTACTATCTAGTACGTCTCTATCCCCGGTCTTCATACATCCTACTTACAGTCACTCTGAGTAAACTTGGAGCCTGGCGGCATGCCTCGACAATGCATGATCCCACACCTGTGTGGCATCTCATCCTCGTTTGGGTATTCATTTGCACTGTAATAATCAATTGAGTGCACCACACGCAGGTAGAATATCAGCTTGTCCAAAACCTGAAGAACACAAAGCCAATTGTTGTGAACATACTGTAACCGATATCTCAGTGAAATCTGAGTATTTTTTATTAAAGGACAACAACACCTAGGACGAAAGAAACAATAAAAAACAAAACAATGTTTGTTTGAGCACTCAGCAATATTCCAACAGTAAATAATCAAGTCTGGACCAGACAATCCTGTGATTGACATCATGAGCATCAGACTACGCAAATAGGACACGATAACATGCATCAACCAAGTCAGCGAGACTGACTACCCGATCCTCTTAGTCGCCTCTTATGACAAGCATGGGTAGCTGGAGACCAATTATAAACCAAATCTTCCCGGGTGTAAACAACGTTGAACATTATTTATTCCGTTATGCTGTTTACTTCACACCTCTAAAGATAATTAAAAGCAACTACTGAACATAAACTTCTCAAAAGAAGTTAAGCACCACCGGGCATGACACATCACCTTACCTGTCTGTCATGGCATGACACATTAAAATAGTAACATGAAAGTATGGAGCGCTCCTTAACTTCTTTTAAGTAGTATAGTTGCATCAAGCTTTACATAGGCTTAAGGATACCAGTAAATATTTTTGATCATCACCATGTGGTATTTTCTGAGAAACATCTTCATACCCTACCTTCATCAAACTCTCATCTCTCTCTATCGTCACTTCGGGGTTAGCATCTTTCTCCTTATCCTCAACACTTTCGCCTGGAAAATACATTACCCTGTAAAGCCCCATCAGTTGACCACCTCTTTGGATTGGTTGGTTGGTTGGTTGGTTTGTTGTTTAACGCCGCACTCAGCAATATTTCAGCTATATGACGGCAGTCTGTAAATAATCAGGTCTGGACCAGACAATCCAGTGATTAATACCATGAACATTGATCCACCCAATTGGGATTGATGACATGCATCAACCAAGTCAGCGAGTCTGACCACCCGATCCCGTTTGTCGCCTCTTACGACAAGCATAGTCGCCTTTTACGGCAAGTATGGGTTGCTGAAGACCTTTTCTAACCCGGATCTCCATGGCCACCTCTTTTGAAAGCATCCTCATAATGCATGGCAGTAATATTTAAACTTGCACAGCAATTCTGTGAGCATTGTTTAGCGACATCATTACTGGTCTTCCATACATTGTTTTCAGAGGAAAAGTGTATAAGTTACAACAAACGGCATCTGGATGACAGATTTAGTCCACATGAGCCTTCAGACATTTTATCAGGATTTCAATTGAAAACATTTGGCTGTCATGAAGTACATGACTGCTCGAGTAGTTTGAATGAATGTTCCTTTATTGTCTCAAAGGAGAACTATAATGCTTTTATGCAGTGTTATTTCACTGCAGCTATGCCACACAACCAAGAACAGGTCATACACAGAAGAGATTCACAGTGACTGAGTGAATGTCTTTATCGCCACTTTCAGCAATATTCAAGGTATATCAGTTGTCTGTTCATTATGAAGTCTGGACCAAACAAGTGTACGACGATACAGTATCAACAAAGTTCAACGAGTCTGACCACCCAATCTACTTTAGTCTCCTCGAAAGACAAGCATAGGTTGCAACAATCCTATCGAGGAATCCCAGCAGGGTTTACTATCACAAGAGTGCTGTATGTATGATGGGACACTACCTAGCAGCTCTTCCTCCTCAAAGCTGCCCTCATCTACCAGGTAGTCTGTGATATTCTTCAACACTGGGTTCTTGGACATCTTGAAGATCTGTAATAAGCATATTTTACCACCAGACATTAATACTAGTATATGAATCGATATGCAAACACATTCATTCACTGACCCTCTGTCTTATGTAAAGTGGGGGTGAAATGATACAGTAAGAACACGATATGATACATATCACAATACATAGGCCACGATACAATACATATCGCAAACCGTACGCCAGCAACAGATATTTAATGCCTGTTTCCTAAGGTTCATGGAATGTTTGATTGAAACATTAAAAATGTTTCTTTTTTCGGTTTATGTAGTCTTGAATACGATGTTAAACCTCATTTCACCATATCTCAACTGCATTTTAGGGCATGTGAGAAAATGTACATTAAATATTTGCATGACCAGATTCAATCTGTGCAACCACTACAAGCATATCTACATATATTACCCCCTTTTCTTCATCCTTCTTCTCCTCCTCGTCCTCCCACAGTCGCCACTTGTCATCGAGATTCTGGATAATCTTGGCTGCTATCTTGATGTCATGTTTCACCACCTGTTTGTGTGCCGTCAGTCCTGTCACTGGCCGCACACGTTGTTTCAACTCACGGTTCAAGGTGGCTCCCAGTTCACAGTCACGTAACTGGAACATTGTCCATCATATTACTAGTTTATCATCAATAAGGATGATGTTCAAGTGTAAAGAAACAATGGTTAAAAAACACATTAGTTCAAATAAGAAAATTCTGCTTACATCCTGGATTATCCAGAGTACTCCACCTCCATTCTGTTGTAATAAATACCCCGAACCCATTCACCACTGAAGCTGCGTTTTGAGTAGTTTGAACAACTTGAAGCATAAAATATCCGTCCAGGTAAAAGTTAATTTATAATACTCTTCTGATTTGATCAAACTTATTGCAATTGTGGATGTAGATCTTTGCCAAACTGTCATTCTCGAGATATTTTGGTTATTGATTTCAAACTCATGAGCATGAGAAATTCTGTGCTAAGTAAGAGATATGAGAAATGCCACTTCCTGAATGATGGCATGGTGACTCATGTGTCCTGGGTATTTATCACGATAGATGAGAGACAGGATAAAGGATGCCTTGCTTGACACTTAACAGAAGCATTGTTACCTTGGTGGCAAATGAAATATAAGCAGCTAAAGCCAGAACTTACTCTGATGTTATTGAGATTCCAACATATCTCCTTGATGTTGACATTCTTCTTAAAGGTGACCCAGCCCCGACGGAAGAAGCGACGCTCAGGTTGTGGGTCTTGTAGAGCTACTCTGACAAAGCCAGGATATCTCTTACACACCTGTGAACAAGGCCACAACTCAGATGAAACAGCCCCATAAGAAACGTCACATTAACTTTTCCATACATGAAAATATCAGAATTATGAAGTTTTTATGATTTCTTCACATAGCGAAAAAAATGCACGCCTTTACCTTACAATTCAAGTGTGATTAATGACTTTTTACAGTGAATTCATTATTTAATGAGTTAATTCATATCTTGATGTTTGCTATTAAGGATTTCTCTTGGATCAAGACATTATTTTGCTTAAAAATGATTTCTTCGCCAAGTCAAATATTTATCAAACTCCCAGCAACATTAACATTGTATTCAATGCAATAATGAGAAACTGAGTATTAAAGTCTTCATTGGTCCTGCTTTCAGTGAAATATCATCTTTCCAAAGGTGAAACGTAAGTGATAGATAACCATCATAGTCTGAATCAGGTTGTTTTTTCATGACACTCCCTGCAATACCAATGCCAAATTAACATTAAATATTACACAAAGATCATCAATTAAACATTAACCAGACCCAACCATTCATTGCAAGAACATCTTTGCGAACAAGAAAAGTTGACATATATTGGATGCCGCTACTCACAGCCTCAACTTCCTGCTTGGTGATGGTGGGTGCCAGGTTTCGGAGGAAGACTGACACAGTTTTGTGAAGGGGCTTGGGTCGAGGGTCTTCCTCCTCCAGCTTGTTGCTGTCAATGTCTCGACATTCCTTCGTATCATCATCCTTGATTTCACCATCTGTAGAGATAATGCATGTGCTTGCATAACAGTCTGAGCCAAAATAATCTGAGTGAGTGAGTCTGGTTTTACACTGCTTTTAACAATATTCCAGCAATATCACATCAGGGGACACCAGAACTGCGCTTCATACATAGTACCCATGTCGGTAAACGATCCCAGGGCTTCGGTGAAGAAAGAACACTTTCACCACTACTACCCCCTCAAGTCCTTTGGGCATACTGGCACAAAGTTGGCTCAAAGTAGAGCTGAGTATCGCTTGGTATCTTGCGATACGATTTGTATCATGATACAGACTGGCGATACTTCAGGTATCACAATATACCACATCAAATAGTAAGAAACAATGAAATACAGCTCTGAAACCTCTTTCCTCCTACATTTATTTATTGTTATCTCACAAGCTTTATTAATGAAAACCACAAGAAAAAAAAAAAATTTAAATGAAGGGATGATTATTAAATGTAACAGTTAGTCGGCATGTGCTACAGGTGGCGCTATCTTACTTCTGTCATTACGGGAGGTAACTCCCATACTTCCTGTTCTATTTATAGCATATCACGATCTCACATACTGATTCAAGTATCATGTGCACCTAAGGCTGTGATGATATCGTAGGTATCGGTGAATCGTTACAGCCCTAGCTCTAAGGATCATATTCAGTTGATTTTAGTGTCATAATATGGACTGTTATTAGCTGAGCTTACCAGCCGAACAGGATTATACCAGATTTGGGCATCAGACAAGCAACTAAACTCCCTGACTGCCATATAAAGTCTAAAAAATCTTTAAAATTCAGTATAGCAGATTTTTACACTCACAACGAGAATCATTTAAAAAGAATAAAATCCCCAGATTCCCCTTCATCTGAACATATACATACACTGACAACTTCTACCCTGTCCTGGAAATACTCAAAGACATATGAGTAAATAGGGCTTAATGCTACTCATAGCAATAATCCAGGACTATCACATCAGGGACATCAAGACAACTTCTTCCAGTGTGGAAATCGAACACAGTTCTTCAGTATGAGTTAAAACACTTAACCACCGAGCCAACAGAAAGAATACCAACACTATTTATCCAGCAACATCCAACTCACCATCTTCCTTGACCTTCTTCTCTTGTTTGTCCTCATCCAGACTGTAGATGTCCGTTTCCCCAGCAGGGAGGGGCTCCCCATCATTATCCACCCCTGGGGGCAGAGGCTCATTGTCATCCGATTCTGATTCAGACGAGCTTATTGACCCACTTGAGGAACCGCTTTCATAATTATAATCACTCTTGTCTCTATGGTGCTTCTTGCCAGCCTTCTTTAGTTCCTGAAGTGAGTAATTGGCGATGATGGAAGTTATGTTAATATAGTAGATATTTCTATGTTACTTTTCATGTAGAGAGTGAGAGAGTGAACGCATACTACTTCAGTTATACCATGGTGTGTCAGTTTGAAGTGGGAGCAAAGCCAGAAGTGATGCAGGTCTTTGACAGTTACTACTTTGTTGAAACCCACAAGCTAGAATATAGTACTGACAAAGCAAGAAATAATCGGGTCAAATATCTTGTGAGGGTTAATCATATTTCATCTGTAGTGCTACTCTCTTCTACTTGTTATATAAGAACAAGTCCCATACTGAAAACACTCAGTTATTTTTAGTTTCAAGTCAGCATCATAAGAATCAAATGGAATCCTATGGTGTCCCAAACAATATATGCCACCAAATTTGTACAAAATCCATATGAGTCAAAGAAACTTGGTTAGTACAAATTTAAAATTTGAAATAAAAATCACCAGACATGTTGATTTACTGTTTAAATTGTATTGTTTGTTCTGCTGGGCATCGTTTTACATCCAGGGATTAAGATTACCTTGTGTATTTTCTCGTAAACTAAGCCGGAAACATCAATCAGCTGTACACATGTTTTCTTGGAATCTACCAGTGATTTGGTTACATCTTACCCAATGAAATAACTATAAAGGATTTTGAAGGAAAAATTGTATCTGAAAACTATTTCTTTATCATGAATAATATTAGTAAAATCTAAATATTTTTTACATTTGTATACTTATCCTGCATTACTCCTTAATGCATTCACTGCTTACTTACGACAACTAGAAGGACAGCGCTGCGAAGGTCCTGGGTGAAGAAACAAAGTTGTTGTTCTCAAGTCCCAATCAGTGGCCTTCCGTCGCTGTCCTGTGACCTTGATGACACCTAAGGTCATCTTCACATCACTGCCTGTCGCCCAAGCTCTTAGAAAAACATACTTTTGAGGTTTCTGAAGCCAAAGTGGGGAGGCAAGTCTAACGACGGGTGGGCCTTAAGCGTAGTAATGCAGGATAAGTATACAAATGTAAAAAATATTTAGATTTTACTAAATTTTTTACTTATCCTGCATTACTCCTTAATGCATCTGTATCGGACGGTTTGGAGGTGGGTCAACCTTCAGAATACAGAAACCTCAATAATTCACACCCTGCAATACGACCCCATTGGTCGATAAACCGTGAAGCGGAAAAGTTCAGACAAAAACGCCATTACGGTAGGGTTGTTCAAAAATCAAAAACATTGAACATAGGAATTAAAGAGAAATTCCCTATACACGCTTAGTAATAAAGAAAATAATAGCTATTCAGCTAATTCTTTACTTACTGCGTCATAGAGCCGTCGCTGACAAACAAGATTGTCTAATATTCTTCCACTGGTGGCGACTGAGTGACTGCACATGGAAGTTGACTGGCTCTGTATAGGGCGAGTTCATTATTTGCGTCAGTGGTTGGCAATCTGCAGGATAACAACCAGAGGGCCAAACTTCGAACGTCTTTGACATCCTCGAGAGTCACAACGCGAAGGTTATGACTAACGAAAATATGTGTCGAATCTCCAGAAATATCCTTCCGTGATTGTTCCAAAACCACAATTGCCGTGTTGAGCCCTGGTAAGGCTGACACCTTGAGATCTTGAGGGTAATTCGCTCTCGGCGAGTTCCGTTTGATGATCTCGTAGGCCTGAAGGATTACTGCGCGTAACCATATAGATATGGTGTTTGCGATTATGCGACTAACTTCTGTCGTGGACGAACCACGCCTTGTCTTGGAGCGTCGAATGAAAACTCGAACTGCTCGCACCGAGCCCAGGAGAACTTCACCATGTACGATTCCCACAATAGTCGATATCGGTGGGATGGTGAAGAACGGTCGGGTTGGCCTGGTAGTAGATTTTAGCAATAAAATCCCAGCATAACCCTAGATGTCCTGTTCCGTGCGTCCCATGCTCAAAACGGATCCGGGTTGAGTCGACCACATGTAGTTCGCTCACCCGTACCGCCATTGCTAATGCCAAGAGAAAACCATTGTTTCCTTGGTGAGGTCCAAGCTCCTCACAGCGATAGCCCGTTCGCGGAGCTCTCTATACTATACCGAGAGTGTAACGAAGGTGTCACGCGCTGGGAAGGAGCTTGAAAATGAGGATGCAATGAGGGGCTCGAAGGGGGCCCTCGCAAACCTCGAAGTACCACGTTCAAGTCCCAATCAGGTGGCTGGAACTTGGCCTTCTGATCCTCAAACCTGAATGAGCATAATATGGCCTGTAGTTCCGTGACCTTAATCACACTGTGATTTTCCGGAAACGGCCAACACTAAGATAATTGCAGCCAATTACGTAGTAATGGTGCTACCTTCCAAGTGTTTTTGGGTACGCAATGTAGGAGGTATTCCTCTAGGAATTGTGACGCAATCGTAGGGTCTTGATTCTTTTCTTCCCTGTAAAAAGTCTCAAGTGATCCCCACTTGTCATCGTCGTCTCTGGGAGAGTAACGATGAACTAAAGCTATAGCTTTGCTGCCCGTGTCGAAATAACCCTTCGCACTTAAACGCCTTTTAAAGACGAACCATGCGTGCAGACGTTGGGTGAGGCAATTTTCTGTTGAGGGTGGATGAGTAGGTTGGACCACTGTGAGAGGGGAAGTGAATCGTTTTAGATTTTTCCGAGCTTGACGAACTACCCTCTCGCCGGTTACCATGGTGCGACCAAAGGAGAGATCGAGATACCTTGTCTCCTTGATCCCCTGTAGCACCTTGGAAGTAAAAGTGGTGGCAGAAGAGTTTTAGTTCTTTGCCCTTCCCAAGTGATACTGAACTCGTCCACCGCCCAAGTCTGCGGATCCGGCAACGGGGAGATATACGTCATGAGTTGGTGGCCTAGGCAAGTAATAAACAAGTCAATGTTTGGTTGCCTGAATTCCTGAAGCAGTAACTGGAATGCTTCTGTGAGAAATTTCCACTCAGTGGGAGCCACCCTGTCTGGACGTGATAAAGTATCGGCCAGTATGTTTCTACATCCGGGGATGTGCTGAACTATGAACCTTAGTCACAGCCGATCCACTAGATGGAAGAAATCTGAATGTCCTTAGAAGTGGAGAGTGGGAGTGTGTTGTTCCCCGATTGCACAGGCACCACACCGCAGTGCTGTTGTCTGTGGATATAGCGAGTCGGGCTAACTGTAGTTGATTCTGCCAATGTGATATAGCCAGAATTAAAGCTTCCAACTCCAAGTTGTTTATGTGCCACTTCCATTGTGCGCCGGGCCATAGCCCTGAGCTTATCTGGTCTTGTAAGTGAAGACTCCACCCCTGAAAAGGGACGTCCACAAACAGGTGTGTATTCGGGGAAAATCCGAATAAACAGACTCCGCAGACATTCAGCGCCACAAATTGAGGCTCTAGCTTAGTTGGTAGAGTGATGGCCTTGAGTGGATCCTGACTCCTGATGTAAGGGTTCAGGAAAAAAATTGAATTGGTTGCTGTTGTAAGCGGCCCATGCTAGTTAACTCCTGTGCCGAGGTGATTAACCCTAGCAACACTTGCCACTGGCGAAGTGTGTGTGGTTGGTGTAGAGTAGATGACAAAAGAAGTAGAAACTTGTGCCATCTGTCCCTCGGTACAGATAGGATATCCTGGTCTGTCTTAAACAGGTCTCCTATGAACTGAAGTCAAAAGGAAGGAGAATACTCCCGACTTCGCCTCGTTGATTGTCTATCCCAGTTATTGACATGTGTTGATGATACAGTAGATCGCCCTCCATCTACGACTCGAACCAAGTGTTCGTCACGTGTAGATAGTTATTGGCTTCATTACTCCTGTAAATAGCCATAAGTGTCACTGACATGTCAAATGGGAAATACTACCATTGGTAGTGAACCCCAATGAACTGGACCTGAAAAGTCTACGGTTGGGATGGATAGTCGAGACTGATGAAGAATCAAACGTTCGTTGAACACAGAGATTGTGGATCATTCTCATCTTGTCTGGGTCCTTCATGAGTACCAGGTAGGTGTGAGGATAAAACCCCGGAGTAAAGACTGGGTTGTGAACCCACTCTACAGCTCTTCTTACCAACAGTATGTCTATGTTGGATTTTCCCAATCAAACTGTGGTCAACGGTGGGGTTAACTCTACCCTTATACGGACACCATGATATAGTGCGATAAGTACGAAATCATCCTTGAGACTTGTCTCTGCCACTCCCTTTCTCAGTAAGGGAATGCTGGTCTTCCCTGAGAAACGCGCGTCTAGGCTTATAATTCCCTGACTTGGACTTTCCAAGCTTTTTGGGAACTTGACGTGCGTGTCTGCGATCTGTTCGTTGAACAGGGGAGTAGATGATCAAGGTTGACGTAATAGACTGCCCTTGAAACCAGCATCTCAGTTGGAAACGCTATAAAGTCTTGGGTGTAACGGTAATCACCGTCAGAACGGTCTCAAGATGAATTTTCCTGTGGTCAAACTGACGCTGTAGGAAAAACACCATAGTTTGGAAGTGATCTAATCAGATAGGGTTATCCTCTAATAGATTCTGATCCACTGCAAACATTGACGATATTGGTCGCTTAAATCACGGAGCAAATGTGAGTTTTGGAGAAGGCTTCCTCCAATGACCTCGTGGTGTCCCTCTTATTTACCCTGTTATCAGGGGAAGGCGTTACTGACACGAGATGGTCTGCTTCCCAATCGGGTACATGTGCTAAGCTGATCATGTGCCGGTTACGTAACCGGTACACTGTAAGCCTTGGGCTAACGTCATTGTAGAGACCTTGATTGATACGCAGACGCTGCGCTCAGCGCAGGTCTGGAATGTTGGAACAGCGCTAAGCTGATCGTGCGTCACTGGCGTGATAGGAGCGCTTGGGTATCAGTCAGACGCTGCGCTCGGCGCAGGTCTATGCTGGATATGTTGGAACAGCGCTAAGCTGATCGTGCGTCACTGGCGTGATAGGAGCGCTTGGGTATCAGTCAGACGCTGCGCTCGGCGCAGGTCTATGCTGGATATGTTGGAACAGCGCTAAGCTGATCGTGCGCCGATTGCGTAATAGAAATGCTTTGGTTGTAGTCAAGTGCTGCGCTCGGCGCAGATAAATCAGACACAAAGCTCAAAAGTATTGACTGGATCAAGGCTTGTGTCTAATCTACCCCCATCATAGCATCTCGATACGCTGGTGCTGTCGCCGACGTCACAGATTATCATACATGTATCTGGAAGTGTCCGGCGGCTGAAAAAATAGGAGCAGTTACGATACTCACAAAATCCTCCGGTATTGTTGATTTCGGTGGATGGTGTACTTCTGCAATCACAGTCGTCATAATACCTGCCGATAATAACGGTTGGGTGGTAATGACAGAACCATATGTCATTCGCTATTCTGCGATAGTGACATTCCTCTCGTCTCACGACGGAATAACTGCAAAATATGATTGTGAGTAATCTGCTTTTATATAGTAAACTCGTTGGATTAGAGATTTACATAAAAATTACATTTTGAATTTTGGCGAGCACATCTACGTGCATGCCTATGACCGTGGATAAAGAGCTTTGGGCGATTATTCCACGACAATATGTACACCGAGCAAACATAATTATGTTACGCAATTAAACCATTGAAGAAATGGTACTGGAAGAATGCCGTAGAATTGAACAGTAATCTATCGGCAAAAATACGAATTGCAAGGGTATACAATATTTTTATATACGCAATTCAATGTAAACCAAGGCTATTTACATTTAGAGATTGGAGAGCACATCCGCGCGCAAACCAACCAATCGTGGATGATAATCTTGTAAGGTTTTTTCCACGACAATTAGTAAAATGCTCAAAGGTATGTTACGCAATGAAACCCTTGTTGATGAGATAATACTGGAAGAGTGCCGAAGAATTTGAACACTAATCTATCGGCAAATTTATGAGTTGCAAGGATATACAATATTTTTGTATGCGCAACCCAATGTAAACCAAGGGTATTTATATTTTCATTTAGGGTTTGGAGAGCACATCTGCGCGCAAACCAAACAACGTGGATGATAATCTTTGTAAGATTTTTCCCACGACAATTAATACCACGCTCAATCATAAGTTACACAATTACATATATATATGTATATTCAATGTCTGTACATATAGAGTAGGGAAAGGGCCACCTAAGTTGGATAACTTTTGCCCAATCCCGTTGACCATATATGTCAATAAAATATGTTTAAATTAAACACAATTACGCCATTGTTGATGAGGCGGTACTGGAAGAATGCCATAGAATTGAACAATAATCTATCGGCAAAAACTACGAGTTGCAAGAGTATACAATAGTTCATGTAAATGTCAATGTAAAACCAAAAATACCAACAAAAAACTATTTAATCGCATAAACATAGGTACGCAATAAAAGAATTGTTGATGAAGCGGGACTGGAAGAAAGCCGTAGATTTGATATTAATCTATCGGCAACCATATTTTTAACGAGTTGAAAAAGTATACAATAATTTTAGTATACGCAACTCACTGTTACGCCAAAGCTAGTAATATTTAAGAACATAAGAATATGTTATACATACGTAGCTGAGAATTGTAAACAATATGACTACCTTGGCAGGCAAACGATTGTAACACAATTCAAAATGGCGGCGAACAACAATATTTTGGCGGGAAAAAAGACAAGCGTCTTTTCACGCCTAATTAATTCATATAAAACTACACAACATGGTGAAAGTAATATGAAAAGAATACATCACCCATCGCAGATCAATTTTTAAGATTGTAGACAAACTGAAGGTCTAAAATTAATCCAAAAGGAGAGCTCCGCTTGGACACGTCCTAGCTGTGCTGCGACAAGCAGTGATGTGAAGATGACCTTAGGTGTCATCAAGGTCACAGGACAGCGACGGAAGGCCACTGATTGGGACTTGAGAACAACAACTTTGTTTCTTCACCCAGGACCTTCGCAGCGCTGTCCTTCTAGTTGTCGTAAGTAAGCAGTGAATGCATTAAGGAGTAATGCAGGATAAGTAAAAAATTATTCCAATATCTTGTAATTTCAGTTGCAGCTTTTACTAAATATATTTAAAATAATAATAACCCTAAGCATAGCACTTCAGTGCAGCTGATCGCTATTGCCTGTTATTTTTTTCACATTAAATTTGGTGATGCAAAGTTCCCGCCAAATTAAAAGTCTTCAGTTTCGGGAGTTTCATGTACCTTATCATGTTTTTCTTTTTCTTTCAGTTGCTGGAACTCCTTCGCTTTCTTCTGCAACTCCCGTTGTTCAGCTGTTATGGTCATCTGCAATGGTTTCTGAAAAGCAATTATGCTTAAAAAACTGTCATCTCCCAAGACCCTGGATCCCAATACAGTTACAGTTAACTATTATGAATAGTGTTCTTTGCTGCAGTCAGCATAAAGGCCAGACCCGACCTTTGTGTCTCAAGAAGTTATTTTGAGGTACAGAAGCTTACGACTACCTGATGATATGCAATTGAGATGCAAGGATGTTCTAAACTTGGTCTAAAAGTTATTGCCCAGTTAGTGGAGCGGCTTTTTGACTAAATTGTGCACTTTGAGTTAAAAGCATGACATTTGGTACACAGGTTCTTCATCCCATTACAAGGCGGCCATCTTTAAAATTATTGAACATGTTGCTGGTCCTATAGCCAAAATTATTCAGCTTGTTTAGAGCTGTTAATGTGTCAGATTTCATTATTTTAACTCAAAGATTGTGGGTTATTCCACAATCTCAGATAATTGCTTGACACTTTCTCCGCCATTTTTACCTTAAAATTAACCATTTAACCATTTGTTTTGCACTATTAACATATTCACTCATATCAAAGAAGTAATTGGGTTTCATTGTATTAATTGTGTCAGTTCTTCTCGATAATAGCTGAATTCAGCCATATAATGGCGGCCATCTTGAAAATGGCCTCCATTTTGTTTGGCCCTAGAGCCAAAATATATTACCATGGTGAAAGCTTTTAATGTACCAAGTTTCATGCTTTTAACTCAAAGTGCACAATATGGCCCTTTTGTGACACTTAGCTGTAAACCCATCCTGGTACTACCCGACTCTTGGATACAATGATTTTTCAAGATAAATTGTCTGAACAGTGTCTGTACATAAACAGTTGGGGGGGGGGGGGGGGGGGGGACAGCTATTATCAACAAAAATGAAGCATTAAATAAACAATCATTACAAAATGCATAAAAGGCATAGAAGCACAAAATCATTCAACCTAATCAGTAATAGTTACTCACATGCAAACTTATGGATGAAGAGGCAACACAAAAAGACACAAAACAAATTAAAACAAAAGTTGACCCAACAAAACACTGAATATCGAGATTTTCTTGTTTGTTTTTAATGTCTCACTCAGTAATATTCCAGCTACATGACAGCGGTCTGTAAATAATCGAGTCTGGACTGGACAATCCAGTGATTGACATCATGAGCTTTAATGAACATAATAGGATATGGTGACATGCATCAACTGAGCCAGCAAGTCTGACCACCAGATCATGTTAGTCACCTCTTATGAGAATTCTAACCCACAACCTTCACATGTCGAATGTCAAGAAAACTATGCACCACAATGCATTTGAAGAGTGCTTAGAGTTACCAACCCTTACCAGATAGTCTAAGGTGGTGAGGTGAAATGCAGTTTTACATTGTGTTAAAAACTATTTCACTCATACAGCGATGCGTATGCACATGTGTGTAACGGTGACTTGTACTAGTCCAGACTTAGGCTTTATAGTGCAAGCACACTGAGATACCATGCTGCAAATTAACATGGACACCCTACTCAGGGCACACACTGACTCCCTCTCCGGCCAGTTCTTGATTTAGCCCCTTAATGCCAAGCACTATGCAGGGTAACAACAAGTACTATCTCTTAATGTCATTTTGTATGACGAGGCCAGGGCCTCCACCACCGACCTTCCATTCTTCAGGAACCAGGAAACACAACCATCCACTCCCCATCTATTATACACACTTCTTTCGCAGACACAACCATCCACTACCCCTGTATTATACTCACCTCTTTCGCAGGTTCTGCTGATGACTCCTCCTTCTTCACTTCTTCCTCAATCTTCTCTGGAGGTGGTGCCTTCTTCTTCTTCTCCTCTTCAGGGCTACTACAATGACAAACAGGCCTGAAATACCTACACATCCACAAGGGCTTACACCAAGCATTAAGATATGAATAATCAATGCAACTAGGACCGACAAACAGACCTGAAATACCTACACATCCACAAGGGCTTACACCAAGCATTAAGATATGAATAATCAATGCAACTAGGACCGACAAACAGACCTGAAATACCTACACATCCACAAGGGCTTACACCAAGCATTAAGATATGAATAATCAATGCAACTAGGACCGACAAACAGACCTGAAATACCTACACATCCACAAGGGCTTACACCAAGCATTAAGATATGAATAATCAATGCAACTAGGACCGACAAACAGTTATTCCTTGTAGGTTCTCAGATATGCTCTACATAATCTTTTGCATTTTGGATTGTTAATTTTGTTTTGCAATTTGTATGGCCATCCTAAATTTATCTGTAAACAAATACACTTTGTTAAGTCCCATAAGAAACATCCTTCCAGTTTTATCACCCCTTGGCTTCTCATGTATATGGAAAATATTCAATATATCATGATCATTATTTCCCTGTGACAACCTGGCTTCTCTTAACATCTCATTCATATAATCTAAAGCTAATCACAATGGTCCAGCTTTATTTCTTTTTCAGATTCAAGTACAGTAACAATTGACAGAGTTACCTTTTCTCCACCGGATGGGACTCGGAGTTGTTTCTGCTGCGAGGCACCTCCTCCTCCTTCTCTGGCTGGTCAAGAATGGTCAAGTCAAAATCAGATCCTCCCTCCATTTTGATGACAGCTGAGAACAACAGTAATTGTCATATAATTCTTCTCCATGTTCTCCAGGAAGAGAAGAGATTGTTACATCAAAAACAACATTTAGTTACCAACAAGCTAACATGTATCCCTGCAAATTTTACTGACTTTGGACTTGTTCGAAACTGCAAAGGTAATGAGCACTTAATGTTCTATCAAAATCACAGGCTGTGCCAACCTCTTTAGTGAGCCACCCATAGAGAGCTCCTTTCCATAAGCATACAAACATAGTACATTATCATATGTGCTCCACTGGGTTATCACCAGTTCAGATGATAGCAAATCACACAAATTGTATTTCAGTTACAGAACAGCATCAAAACACTGTTCAACTTCAGTTACATTGGTGCCTTTCCAGCAGATCAGGAATTCTTAAAGAAAATGCTTTAGATACTGTGACACAATGAAACAGTTCAGCACTGGATTCCGCTGGATTCAGCTGGATAATGGTGTAAGGATCTACACTGAAACGTCACGTTATGCAACAAACCCCGAAGTTGTTATCCACAAAACTGTAACTTTTATAACAATAAAAAATGTATATTCATAATACTTATCCTATCTCACACTATGCACTTCTCTTTTGATCCTAAGTGGAATGTGCCTAAATAAAGGCTTCCACCTATAAAAAAATCATCCGAACACACCCAACAACACATGCCCAAAGAAGTGGTGAGTGGAACAGAATTGATCGCAGCCAGATACGTTGCTAAGGAAGAACCCTATAGCTTACGTGATGACCGGAGATGAAGAACGTATTCGGCACTTTGTTGTGGAGAAGCAGTAGTGGGTGTAGAAATCTTACACATGTGGCAGTATTCCTCAAAAGCCTTCCACCAATGGTCGTATAGTGACTTGGTTGATCGATGAGCCTCAGAAATGGTCTTGGCTACCCTTTTACAGTAACCCATGGCAACAAGGGATTCCTGTATATGTGCCTGACGCACAGATTGAGGGTTTCGGGCAATGGGTGGAAGAGCTGAGAGTGAGGTTGAAGAAGAAGATTGACGCTTAGGGGTAAATGATGAAATCTTCTGTGGGCGAGTTGGATGAGTGTGGAGAACCAACTCCATGTTGGCCAACGACAAAAGCAGTGTGAGGTTACTAGTGGCATGGTCTTCTGCAGGACCCAAGGTAGAACACTGGTTGGGAGAAAGGCGTAAGCGTGTAGGCCCTCCCATAAGATTGCTAATGTGTTGTAATCTTAAGCCTGAGGATCGGGGATGGGAGACATGAACCGGGAAGTGTATTATTTGGCAAAATTGCAGAGGGGACAACTAAAGATGATAGTTGTCTGCGGCTGAAGTACTTTTAGGAAGCTGGAGTTTATACGCAATTCAACTCAAAACCATAAACAGATCTGCAGTGAGGAAGAAGCAGGGGAGGCATGACAATCAATTAAATCCCTCTTTGGCAACGGATCCACAAGAGAAGTAGATGGGACGGTCCATGTCGTAGGCTGCAGAGAGTACATGACGGAAGTTACTGTATCCATAGGAAGACCTGGGCCCCATTCCTCAAAGCAATCTTAGCTCTAAAGTGATCATAAGTCCCATACTTTAACAGGCTTAGGCTTACGATTATTGTAGCGCTAAGATCACTTTGAGGAACGAGGCCCTGACTGAGGGAGGCACACTGACGTCACACCTTGTAAAAGCTACTGAAGTTGCTGCGCCGGGATGGAGGTTAAATCATTAGGATTCCATGATTTAGGAAGTATCTGTGTGGAAGACTAGTGTCACTGAAGGATCTGGTACAGTCACGGTAGACGGACATTGAACCTGAGGAGGAGACGGGGAACTTGAGCGGCGTAAGGAAGGAAGAGTGTCATCATATGAAGCAGGGTTCCAGTAAACATCTGGTCGTTGATGATGATAATCATCAGAGCGAGAACGATCATGAAGGTGAGTCAGGATGACTAGAACAAGAGGAACTGGCTAAGTGAGATGAGTGTCCATTAAAGTCGGTATAAAATTCATCTTCCGAACTGATATGTGAAGTGTATCTCCATGAGAGATGATGGGTAGACTGTTTCCCTGATCGTTGATACTTGGAATAATGCTCAGTGGAAGAAGGTCAATCCATGGAGGTTCATCAAACCCCGGGGGAACGTCAATCCTTAGAGTTACATCGCATCTCTGAGATATGTCGTGCCTTAGAGGTGCGGTGATACTTAGAGGTGTGTCTATCCTGTGAGGTATGTCGAACCTTGGAAGTGTGCTGCTTCCAAGAGGAGTTCCAATCTTAAGATGTTCGCCAAAACTTAGAAGTAAGAGGTCCGGTCATTGGAGGTATGGCGAGTCTGAGTAGATTGCCGATCCCGTGATCGGTGAACCCTAGATTTCCCATCCCAATCTTGAGTTCATCAAACCTTAGATGATTGTTGATTTGAGTTCCATGATAGAATTCTGGAAGAAAAAAATCAGCCGAATGCCGAGGCTTCACAAGCTGAACCCCGGATACACTGTTGTCATCAACAGCAATCTCATTAAAATCAGATCTTAGTCGCCCATCGCTAAACAAAGATCTGCGGACATCCCATTACGGGTCACGTCAGAACAACCTTTCATCCAACCAATCAGAGCGTCGCTTACCAGATTATGAAAGTGACGGACGGTATGTGTTTTCTTATCATGCAACCTCAAAATATTTAACAGAGGGTATTCCGAACGATAGTTACGGTTTTTATGATTATATCCATACAAACTTGACCATCTATAAGCCATTCCAGAATGTTCTTATAATCAGTTTAAAATTTTTAATCGAGAATATGTCAAAATATGTTTCGAAGCGTAGTCGCCAGTTTGAAACTAGTGTTGTAAAGCTCGAGAAAGCTGCCTTCTGATTGGCTAATGTCGATTTCTTGTCAGTCATTTCATTGGTCGGTCAAAGTTCGCGAATGGTCGTTTTGACGTGACCCGTTATGGGATATCCTCAGATCTTTGTTTAGCGGTAGCAAAAACTAAGATCTAATTTTAATGAGATTGTCATCAACAGAAGCGCGGAGTTTGACGAAATCCTCAATCGTCGAGGGTGCTCTTGCTCCAACATTTATGGTGGGAAATTACTGAAGGATTCATCAGGTCAAATCCATGCACTGACACAGCACACAGATGTGCTACAGCGCCCACAACAGTCTGAACAAACATCATGAGGTCAGATGGAGAGAAGATCTGACTGCAAGTAAGACACGTGGGACGAAGCATTGACTTCCGTCCAAAATGACAAAAACGGGGAAGAAGGCTAAGACTGGAAAAACTGAAAAGGGAGAATTGTATAAAGAGAAAAAAATGGATTCCCTTGGAGTTCACCACACCATGGCAATTAGAAAGAGAATGAGTTGGTGATGCAAACAGTCTACCTGTGTCAATGTCAATGTCAGTGTCTATATAACTAGTCAATGTATGTAAAAGCCCATTACAACCATCTTACCTGCATCTAGCACTTTAATGATGTCTTCTGTGTTATCAATGTCCAGCATGATGCTTTCTAAACGATCTTGCTGCATCAGTTCAGTGAAAACCCTCAACCTTTTCAACAAAGCCATTCTGACTTCATCTTGACGCTTCTCACATTCTTCAGGATGGTATTTCAGTTTGAACCTATCAAGTAAAACAAACCAGAAATAAAACACTGTACATGAGTCCATTAAGCCTTTCACATTCCTTCCTTTGAGAAAAAGCCTCAAGTAACCCAATTACTCTTACAGACAACTGTGAACATTGCAAAATCTGTGTTTCTAAAATCAAAATGGTGATCCTTAGTGACACATTGAAATCTGTAATATTGAAGCTATTCCTAAAAAATCACATATAATTAAATACATTTCAACATAACATCAGTTTCTAAGGTTCCCAAGTGCTTCATCCGAATAGCAACACCTATTTATTCAAGAATTCATTAGCTGAAGGATCACTTTTTGGTCTTCAATAAGATGAAGTTAATCGATTATTCTCTTCAACACATGTTCAAATGAAACATAATTATTGTAAAACTAATGCTCCTTTAGAAATTTGTTCGTCAATCAACATAGATCAAAACATGACTTATGGACATAATCTGAAAAAGAACATTAGCTTAACGTCAAGCATTATGCCTTTACAGATGATCAATCGCAAAGTCTTCATACTTAATAGAACACATCATTGTATAGGCATAACATTGTGTTAACAAAAATATACATGTTGGTGATTCACCTGCAACAGAAGCCATCGTATTTACCAGAAATTACCTGCTTGCAACGTAGACACCACCATACACTGGTGATTCCCGGGAATGTAATATTTCGGTCACAATATTTCCGATGACATATTTTCACGAACCTTACACTATGCCTAACACTTTCATCAACTAAAGACTGCATTGTGCGCAGTACCCTAAGCTAAATCCATGCTCCGGTGAAAGGGTTCTTGTGATTGGCTATCTCATTTTCATAGCAGGCCAGTGATAGGTCATTGCATTATTCACCATAGCAACCCAGCTCCTTTATAGGGGGTGAAAAAGTAAGTTAATATAATAAGTAAAGGGAATCAGGCAGCATATATGTGGGTTTACTGAATTCGCGAACATGGACAATAAAAGCAACCCAAATTTTGAATGTACATGAAATATGAAATAGTGATCATGCTCTGATTTATATCAATAAACCTGATCCCCTTTACAAACATAAAATAAACAATATTCTTACAAATTGAACAATCTTCTAAGTGATTTTTCAAAGAGATTACACAAACAAATTCATAGCATTACCATTTGCTTCGATATGCATCAATGTTCATTTATGAATACAACTTCGACAGATTTCAACAGTTATCAACTACATATAGGATAACATAATCCAGGTGTGTGATATATCCCTTGGATTGTCACCATCATTGTCTCATGTAATATAACAGATTGAAATAGCAATTTAGGAATTTTTCTAGAAATTCATCCAAAACCTTTACTCAAATGAAACTTTTCTTCCAACCACAAAATGCATTTTGTACAGTCAATATATCAATCTCAATTATTCATATAATTGATAAAATAATGCAAGGACTCATATTTAGTTTCGAGTCGAAGGTTGACCAGACACCCAAAGCTACATACCATTCCTCTTCTTTGTGGGCAAGAAAGAACTCATTAATCTGAATTTTCTTGAAATCCTGTTTGTATTCATTATATTTCTTGATAGCATCTTGGTCATTAATGTTATCATCTTGCTGTGTGAGGTACTGCTTGAACGTCATCATCGAGGGCTGGGTCGGGTAGTCCACATCCATTCTGCAAACAGTAAAACATCAAACTTTCTTCTTTGTTTGTTGTTGAAACGCCACACTCAACAATATTCAAGCTATGTGACTGTGGTCTGTAAATAATCGGGTCTGGACCAGACAATCCACAGATTGACATCATGAGCATCGATTTACACAAGTAGGATATGATGACATGCATCAACCAAGTCAGCAAGCCTGATCACCAATCTTGTTAGTAGCCTCTTATGACAAGCATGGGTTGTTGAAGACCAATTCTAACCCGGATCCTCCCACGTCAAAATATCAATGAAGTTTTTAACAGGCTCCAAACCAAAACATCAACAAGGTTTCAAACCATGCTGTCATCATGAAGTCCAAACCTGTCTCCTTGCATCATACTTTTGTTAGACCAGAAACAAGTATGTCACAAGTGTTAATCTGTAGTTCGGATGGACAGATTACATAATTTTGCGAGTTTAAGTTCCCAAGTTCCTCAATGAAACATAAGTTTGTATGACACTGTGTACAAGAAGGTAACTTTGATGCAACAGGCAAAAACTTCCAACTCATCAATGAAAACAAAAGAGTGAGTGAGTGAGTTGGGTTTAACGCCGCTTTTAACATTATTCCAGTTATATCACGGCGTGTCAGCTTAATGTGGGAGGAAAGCCCCAAGTGATGCAGGTCTCAGACGTTTACCACTTCGGTGAAACCCACGAGCACGGGTATGGTGCTGACAAACCTAGAAACATAATTGGGGCGAACCGGGATTCGAACCCACAATCATAGGTTTCTGGCGTGCCCAAGGGAAGCAAATCTGCACAGCAAATGGCGGCGCCTTAGACAACTGGGCCACCCGTGCCCCCTGAAAATAAAGGATATACCAGGAGCAAATAGTGAGTGATATTATTTATGTTGTGTTATGTGTTGTGGTATAACTCGTTCACATTCTAGTCAATGTTTGAGTAAGTGTGGGAGTAAATATGGTTTTATGCCGCTTACAGCAATATTCCAGCAATATCATGGCGGGGGACACCAGAAATGGGCTTCACACATTGTACCCATGCTGGGAATCGAACCCAGGTCTTCCGCATGACAAGCAAATGCTTTAACCACTAGGCTACCCGACTGCCCCAGTCCATGTTTGATAATATTCTTGTCACGTTTGTGACTTGTCTCTGACCAACAAAAGTCACAGACAACAACAATGACCAATCAAAAGATGAACCTTTGTTTATCCAAGCCTGTTATCCCTGTACTTTCCTTGCAGATAACACTTTCATGCATATGTACTGTTTTGGTCCTTGTATGCAAATAGCTACAGACGTTTCATGTGAATACTTGAGACAGAGAAAATACAGACATTTTTAGGTATAGTATGAATATGATCCAGATAAATTTATCTGGAAGACGAACAAGTCTTGCACACCATTAGGTCAAAGCATGACTCTTATGCATTATTTTTTAACTGTCATGCAATATGCAACATGTAACTAACATTCTGATTGGTCCTACAGTGACAGAAACTAGTCCTTGTGATGATAACCTATAGTAAAACCCTCAATAATGGCAAATTTCTTCTAGTCCTTATGATACCTTAACTATTGGGCAGTTTGGCAAGGACTAGTTCCAATTTCTAACACTGTCCTATTACTGACCTTCCCTGGTTGGGTACATTGCCGAAGCCTCCCTGCTGCTGTGGCGGACCTTGGATGCTTGCGATTTCTGGGCCAGGTCCCCAGGTGCCTTCATGGTGTGGGTGGCCCCCTCCACCATGCATTGGCCCTCCTCCGTAAGGCATGTCATAGTGGCTTCCATACCCTCCGCCTCCGCCCCCACCCCCTCCTCCTCCGCCTCCTCCCCCTCCCCCACCACCTCCGCCTCCTCCATCCCTGACAATGTAGACATGGGTCATAAACAGGAAAGGAATACATTTCAGATTTCTTTTTTGGATAGATGATAGATAATTACATAAATCAACACATAACATGTCCTTAAACTAGTATTCTGAGGTTGGAGGATGATTTCTATGTTTACTCCATATAGGTTTTTTCTGGGTTTTTTATTCAGTGGCTTATTATATGGTGACAAACCCATAAGTCCAGACCCAACTAGTTCTGACATAATCTTCTGTCGATTATTTAGGGGAATGGCTAAATACATAAAGGGACATTACTCTGTACCCAGGATTCCTTTATTCGGAGAACAGTAAAAATGTCTGGATAGACGGGGTGTCACTGTATATATATATACTACTCACAAGAAGTTAAAGAACACCCACAATTGGAAGGCTGTGTTTTGCAATGACCACCAGCCATGACAGAATAACTATAGTCATATGAACAAATTGGGTGTTCTTTAACTTCTTTTGAGTAGCATATATATATTGTAAGTCACACATGGAAGAAGTATTTGAAAAGTTCTACAAGGTGCAGATTAATGCACCCAATACAACATTTGGAATACTGGTAATATTTATCAACTTCATATCACAATACGACATATCACAGGCAGCTGTTAACATGGTTAAGGCCAGATTTTTCTTCTTTGGATTGTGGACTTTTTTTAAGAAAAATCCTGGATGGTAGTTGGGGAAACTAACATAAAAAGAGATTTCAATCAAAAACAAAAAGTACATTTCAGGTCTTTTTTTTCACTTTCAATTTATTGCAGATTGTGGATTTAACTAAACCAATTAAAAAAATCACATTGAGAGAAAGTACCAATGTCTATGACAGTGTTAACAATTAATGGGGTCCCTAGGGTCCTTGAGGTTTGGTTCTATAGTAGTGACCCTCAATCTGTACACTTTCACATAAGAGTTATGACAAAGATCCCTTGACTTGCGTTCTTAATTTCAAACAATGTAAGGAGAGAGAAAAATACATTCTGACATATTCTGAAGTGGTTACTCTGTCAGTATTAGCCAACTGTAGTCACAAACAGGTTTATTTACCAGTCTCTCCGCATACGCTTAGCATGGGGAGGGCTCATGTCATGACGTGTTGGGCTGAACCTCTCTCTTCGACGAGGCTCATAATCTCGCCCATATGGATCACGTCTGTTGTCACGGTTACTTCTACTGCTCCATGCATCACGTGATCGGCCACCAGAACCTCGTCTAAAATTATGAGATTAATAATTACATTATGATCACTAAAATAATCAAGTGTTTGAAACCAGTGGACAAAAGTATCAGTGTATGATGACACACAAGCAGAAACCTCACAACCAAGAGGAAATCATTCCATCTAACTGTGCAACCTTGTAACATCAGGCACAAGTGAAAAAAGGCCACATGTCAAAAGAGCCAGAGAGACCCGAGTCAACACAGCCACACTAAAAAGTCAAAAGGGTCACACTACAAATTCAAAGGGCCACATGAAAAAGTACAAACATAAAAAACAAAAAGTGTTAGTTTCCATTTGTTGGCTAATTTTATTTCATTAATCAAAAGAGTTAACAAAATGTACAATAAACTTTGATCAACAATGAAACCTGTGTGTGTTGTCTTTACTAAGTTTTGTAATACATACTTCGATTCCGTGTTGATTGACCTATCAGCGATAGAAACTAACAGTTTTAGTCACTAGTCCTTATTATGATATTACATAACAAAGCCATAAAAAAGGGCAAATTTCTACTAGCCCTTATGATACCTTAACTATTCACCAGTTCATCAAGGACAACAGGACTAGAGTCAATTTCAAACGCTGCCTTTGATCATTAGTGACACTTGTGTATGTTGTCATGACTAAGATTTTGTAATAAGACTTTGCTGCTGTTTAGAAGTGTGTCCCTTTTGCAAACATCCCCTAATCAATAAGCATGTTTATATTCTATACCATCCTGATGTATATGACTGGTTCGTTGGAAATTATTCTCTCCTAGATTCCCCAGTTAGAATGTCATAACAATGTAAACATTTGTCCATTGAAGAAACGTGAGATCATTAGTCTCACCTGTCATGGTCCCAGTTCTCTCTTCTTCGATCATCTCGACGATCATAATCATTTCTCTCCCGTCGAAATTTGTCTCTTCCTTTCCTTCGTGTATCATATTCATCCTCACTGTCACCCATCTTATACCCTGGAAGAAGAAACTTGTCATTTCAAGAGTGATCCAAACTAATGGAACAAGAGTCATCAGAAAATCACAATCCCCCTGACCACACAATAGCAAAAGTCACTTCAGACAATGGTTAATACATGTACAAGGATTAGAAGAAAAATCATTCAGTCTTTAAGTTATGCTCGGAAAGAGGAAATATTGAAGGACATACAATCTAGATGATGATGAACACACACACACACCAACAGCCTATATGGTGGGGGTTAGGGGTGATGGTAAAAATGTGTATTTCTGAAAACGTCCAGTTGTACCTTCTTGCATACCGGGGTAAGCACGTTTGTACACAATACATTAAATATTCTCTTGGGGTATTATGCAAACATAAGTTGGCAGGAAATGGCATCGATCATGAACAAAAGTATTTCATTGAGAACAGGGATGAAAGGGGTTTCAGTGCCTGACCTGGGACAAGAGATTTTGTGCACAGTGGCTAACAATTTGACCATTTATGTTTATATTGTTGGCAGTCAACAAACTGTTGATTTAATCGCATTGTTGTTTACAATTTACCGGACAGTGTGTTGTACTGATATGATTAAAACTGGCCGCAGAATTCACGAAAATTATTTCATATCCGCCAGGATGACGCCAAACCTTTCCGTAAGAGGGCGCTTTGATCTCTATAGTCTGTTCTCGGCTAATCTGCTAATATCCCGCTATGATAGTGTGTGTTCAGGCCAGTGAGCTGGTCATGGGCATGGTGAGAATCCCAAGCCAGGCTGTAAAAATAGGGCTAGAATTTACTTTTAAACTCAAAGCCACAATCAATATTTTTTTCGGAGGACAGGGGGGTTACATTGTGTGATTTGGTAATTTTCGCGTTTTGTAACCAACTAGGTTAGTAACATATATAGTAATTGCACACTTCTGCAAATTATTATTTAATTTATGAACTGATTAATACACTAGGTCTCATTCGTATTGACGAACGCTACTGAATGTTTTTGACTTTGTATGGCATTTTGTAGTATGACCCCGATCATAATACACCCCTCTAAAAGGTAACATCAGAGACCATAAATATATGGTCTCTGGTAACATGCATATATATAATAATGATTTTGTTTTTAAATGACGCTTCGGCGGGGAGCTGAGTATGACATCGAGTGGATGTTTACTGAGTGGGTGTCCGAGCGAATAAAATAAATGTTTGGCGTTTGTGTTTGTTTTCCATTCGGATACTCAAGACTTCCAATTCCACGCAACAAACTTTGAAATACTCTATAGCGCTGCAGGTTCCCGAAAGTGAGATGCGCATGTCCTAATGTATAAACTTCCGGTTTGAAAAGAAGCGTGATTCTGTCGTTTCAAAAGTAAATAGTAAACATGGACCACAAGAGAAAGGCAATGGATGGAGCTTTGGTGCCCGTTAAACGGGCACGTGGAAATGAAGTCGTCTTAGCAGATGGCGACACGAACGGTGCTTTGCTACAGAGTCAGAATGTAAGTTGATCGTGAAAACCGGCCCGACCATATCTGTATGCGGATTGTCTCCCCTCCTGTTATATTTAGTTTTCATACTGCACTGTTAATGTAATTTTGTTTTTAGAAAGAAAACAATTAGGATATAGATTGGTGAAAAGTGTATATTAACCCTTCGTATTGAAGAAAACTATTCTTTGTCATAACCATATTGTTGTCAGTGCTGTGTCATGAAATTCTGAAGTGAATCAGTACTGACGATATCACTTTACCTGGCACAGGCATGAAATGGGAAAGATATTTTTGCCTTCCTCAGAAAAATGATAGATAAATAACTGTGGTTGTAAACTGCAGGCTGAAATGTGTTTCTAGTTCTACTCAACAATAAAATTGGAAGAAACATATTTAATGATGTTAACATAGTTTTCTGTTTGTTTATTCGGGCCAGGGTCCACCTCGGACATCTAGTCTTGATGGGCCAATCATGCTGCTTACAGGCCATGAGGGAGAAATATTTACAGCCAAATTCTCTCCAGATGGGCAGTTAATTGCTTCATCAGGGTTTGACAGGCTCATATGTGAGTAATTTGAGCATTGAAAGACTGCTGTTTTTGTTTTGTGGAAATTTTTATTTGAAATACCATTAAAATCATTTATTCACATTGAAAAATCATCATCAAACATAATGTAAAGGCTCTCCAGCATACTGTTAGCAAATTAACATGTTAGCTGTGAAAATATCTGACAAGCTATCTTTTGATGCAAGGACTTTTCTGTCATACTACATGTCAGTGTAACATGGTATAACCTGATAACCATAACACTATTGCTAAACTTTCATGTATCAGTTCAAAATCAGGACCAAGAAATATTTTATATTGTGCTTCTTCATTTATTTCCAGATTTTTGGACAGTATATGGGGAATGTGAGAACTTCACAGTATTGAAAGGACACACAGGAGCTGTGATGGATTTAGAATTTTCCACAGATGGAGGGTAAATGTGTGAAATTGTTACTTGCAATTATTAGGATATATTATGATTAACCATCAGCCATCAGGTCAGTGTTGCTTTCACAAAGCTATTATGCTAAGTATAAGTATAATTACCTGAATGGTTTTGATTCCAATTTGGGAATTTGGATGGCATTTGCTACAAGTTTGTAGCGGAATATTAACCTCGGAATACCTAGATCAATCCCAGCTTACACAACATTCAGCTACATAGTTCTTCAAATGATGAGGCAAATGTCGTCCCATTCTGTCAGTTGTTTACATTTACTCCTTCATGTCCATCTAGAATGCTGTTCACTGTATCAACGGACAAGACAGGTGCAGTGTGGGATGTTGATTCAGGAACACGTATACGCAAGTTGAAAGGTCACCAGACGTTTGTCAACTCTTGTAATCCTGCAAGAAGGGGTCCACAGCTGGTGTGCACAGGAAGTGATGATGGAACAGTCAAAGTAAGCTTGTGTGGAACCTCACTTATCCAGTGTATCATATCCATTCTATTAACATAAGTGCTCTGCACCCTACGTCCTCCCGAGGCAAGGGAGAGAACTGACTATGTCCATTTTCCACCCTTGCCAAGACCCATGATGATCCTGGGTGACTAGATCCTCAGCAACCCATATGCTTGCCATGAAAGGCGACTAATGGGAGTGGGTGGTAAGGCTCTCGACCTGGTTGATGCATGTCATCGTATCACAATTGCGCTGATCGATGCTCACCATGTCAGTCACTGGATTGTCTGGTCCAGAATCGATTATTTATAGACCACCATCATATCTGGAGTATTGCTGAGTGCAGCGTTAAACAGCAAACAAACAAAACTCTTGCCACACTAGGATGGAATTTCTTAGTTTTAGTTTGCCTGTCCCAAAAATTCGGTGCATAGTCCAATCATAAATTGTGGGAAAAAATCAACATCTGGTTTGTAAACAACATGGCAACTGTAGTGCAGATTTAAGTCAATTGCATGATTTGCAAAACATATGTAACCCCAACTGGGCATCGACAGATATTTTCCAAATCTTTTCATGCTTTTAATGAACATGCTCAAGTGATTTGTTGCACTTCACGAGATAAGACTCATTTTATTACAATAATGATCTTGATTATCGATCAGGACGTGTTGACTAGGCGGCTATTTGTTTCAAGCAAATGCTAGTGATATGAAGGGTCATAACTCGTAATAGCCACTGGTGGTTCTATGAACAAATTGGCAAGTATGGAAACTCGACTTTTATAGTCAGTTAATTCCCTTGCATTTGGAAAATGTGGATACTACCACTACTAGCTCTGTTATGAATTAGTCTGGTTTGACTGACATGACACTACAAATACCCAATCAAATCACACACATAAGTGAGAGATGTTCTGAAACATCCTGACCGAAGCTAAGGTAGCAAATTGGTCAAGGGTATGTCATAGACACTCAACACAAGTATGGATATATACACTGGATATTCAAGGATGGCTGGTGATACTTGTTTGTATTTTGTCTTGTACCGGGACCGCCGCCGTAGTCTAGTGGATGGAGCATCTCCATGGAGAGCAGAATGTCAGTAGTTTGATTCCCTGGCCGCATAAAACCAAAAGACAGTAGAGATGGTACTTGTTGCTACCCTGCCTAGGCCGAGCATGACAACACAAATATTTTCTAAGTTTATCATAAATCTCACAGTGTCATTTAGGATAGGCTAGATTAGGTAGTGCATTATTTTGATATATACCGTATTCGACGTATTAAGCGCCTGGGGCGCTCTCAAAATTGGAAATAGTGGGCTCTTATTAGAATATAATTTTGGTGAGAACAAAAGCAGAGTTGAAAAATTGTAAATTTCGTACAGTAGTTTATGCTGACAGCTTGAAATGATACAAAAGAAAAGTATGTACGTATCATACACGAGAGATATATTTTCTAGAATTTAATTGCCCACAGTCAAGGGTGCATATAACACACGAGTGAGTATTATACACGAATCAATAAGTCTTGTGTACATTGATCAATCGGAAGGGGTGCTAATTGGGATTGTTCACTAGTAAATATATTAGCAAATATCGCCATGGGCGCTTATTAGAGCGGGGCGCTTATTATGTCGAATACGGTGTGCTAATTTTCATAGCCCCATGATTCGTATTTATTTAATGAAGCCAGAAAAGCACTTTACTAGCATTTTGTTCAAGACCCCCTCACCTTATTGAAAGGCACCGTAGAACAACATTCACTACATGAATATCATTGTGTATACTTTGTACTTTGATAGATTGTCTAATTGAGTTCCAAGCTTCAGATAGCCAGCTGTTGTGGAGATTGGTGTTGGAGATGTGTACAGTGCTGTTGCTATGTTCCAGTTGTGGGATGCCAGAAAGAAGGGTGTGATACAGACGTTTCAGAACACATACCAGGTAACAGCCGTCAGTTTCAACGACACAGCTGAACAAATCTTCTCTGGGGGGATTGACAATGACATCAAGGTGAGATAATGTGATTGTTAATACTGATACACATGACTGTTAATACTGATACACATGATTGTTATTACTGATACACATGATTGTTAATACTGATACACAGGATTGTTAATACTGATACACTTGATTGTTAATACTTATACACATGATTGTTATAACTAATACACATGATTTTTAATACTGATACACTTGATTGTTAATACTGATACACGTGATTGTTAATACCGAAACACTTGATTGTTCATACTGATACACTATTGTTAATATTGATACACGTGATTATTAATACTGACAGACATGATTGTTAATACTGATACACGTGATTGTTATTCCGACAGACATGATTGTTAATACTGATACACATCATTGTTTATACTGATACACATGATTGTTATTACTGATACACATGATTGTTAATACTGATACACGGGATTGTTAATACCGATACACTTGATTGTTAATACTTATACACATGATTGTTATAACTAATACACATGATTTTTAATACTGATACACTTGATTGTTAATACTGATACACAGGATTGTTAATACCGATACACTTGATTGTTATTACTGATACACATGATTGTTAATACCGAAACACTTGATTGTTAATACTGATTCATGTGATTGTTAATACTGATACATGTGATTGTTAATACCGAAACACTTGATTGTTAATACTGATTCACGTGATTGTTAATACTGATACACGTGATTGTTAATACTGACAGACATGATTGTTAATACTGATACACATGATTGTTAATACTGATACACGTGATTCTTAATACTGATACACGTGATTGTTAATACTGATACACTTGATTGTTAATACTGATACACATCATTGTTTATACTGATACACATCATTGTTTATACTGATACACGTGATTGTTAAAACTGATACACAGGATTGTTAAAACTGATACACATGATTGTTAATACTGATACACAGGATTGTTAAAACTGATACACATGATTGTTAATACCAAAACACTTGATTGTTAATACTGATACACTTGATTGTTAATACTGATACATGCGATTGTTTATACTGATACACATCATTGTTTATACTGATACACATCATTGTTTATACTGATACACGTGATTGTTAAAACTGATACACAGGATTGTTAATACTGATACAAGTGATTGTTAATACTGATACACGCGATTGTTTATACTGATACACATGATTGTTTATACTGATACAAGTGATTGTTTATACTGATACACATGATTGTTTATACTGATACACATGATTGTTTATACTGATACACATGATTGTTTATACTGATACAAGGGCGGTCGGGTAGCCTAGTGGTTAAAACGTTCGCTCATCACGCAGAAGACCCGGGTTCGATTCCCGACATTGGTACAATGTGTGAAGCCCGCCCCGCCGTGATATTGCTGGCTGATAAAAGCGGCGTAAAACCATACTCACTCACTCACTTATACTGATACACATGATTGTTGATACTGATACACATGATTATTATACCCCTGACAAAATGTCGGGGTATATAGTTAAACCAAGGTTCCGTCCGTCTGTCTGTCTGTCCGTCCGAAAATTTTGTTCGCGCAATTTCTCTAAAACTATTCAGGGGATTCATCTCAAACTTAGTACATATAATCTGTGTCATATGGAGGGTTGCAGTCAAAAGAAAAAAATGTTTTTATTAATTTTCCATTTTTTTATGAATTTTTCAAACCCTAAGGCTATCCTAGCTATTTAATTTGCAACTACTGACACACTAGGCGGGTCGGGGGTATTAGTGAGCCACGCTCACTTTTGCACTTGTTGATACACAGGATAGAGTTGGTTTTCAGCAAGTGGCTAACAAGATCGGGTGGTTAGGCTTGGTGACTTGGATGGTGCATGTCATCGCATCCCAGTTGCGTAGATGCTCATGTTATGCTTGTTTTTTCAGGTATGGGATTTAAGGAAGAACAATGTGCTATATCGAATGCGAGGCCACTCCGACACAGTGACTGGGATTGAGGTCAGCCCAGATGGGTCCTATCTCCTCTCGAACGCTATGGATAATACATGTAAGGCCACAGGAACATCAACATATCAGAAGTATATGTGCAGTTTTATTAGCCCCTTTGAGTGGGGATTATAGCCTAAGTATCCCATGCTTGTTTATCTCAAGTATCCTATGCTTGTTTATCCCCAGTATCCCATGCTTGTTTATCCCCAGTAACCCATGCTTGTTTATTGCCAGTATCCAATGATTGTTTATCCCCAGTATCCCATGCTTGTTTATCCCCAGTATCCCATACTTGTTTATTGCCAGTAACCCATGCTTGTTTATCCCCAGTATCCCATGCTTGTTTATCCCAATTATCCCATGCTTGTTTATTGCCAGTATCCCTGCTTGTTTATTGCCACTATCCCATACTTGTTTATTGCCAGTATCCCATGCTTGTTTATTGCCAGTATCCCATGCTTGTTTATTGCCAGTATCCCATGCTTGTTTATTGCCAGTAACCCATGCTTGTTTATTGCCAGTATCCCATGCTTGTTTATTGCCAGTATCCCATGCTTGTTTATTGCCAGTAACCCATGCTTGTTTATCCCCAGTATCCCATGCTTGTTTATCCCTAGTATTCCATGCTTGTTTATCCCTAGTATCCCATGCTTGTTTATCCCTAGTACTCCATGCTTGTTTATCCCCAGTATCCCATGCTTGTTTATTGCCAGTAACCCATGCTTGTTTAAGAAATATTGGTTTACCTGGCCAAGACCTCAATAATTACTGGAATAATGCTCACATCAGCGTAAAATTCCAATATCACACTCTCGCTTGTTCCCAAGAAAATATAACTGTTGCTTTATATCTGGATGGCCACACTATCGACCACTGGTTTGTCTGGGGAAAGCCTGATGACTTTACGTGTTGCTGTGATACGCCTGAAAAATTGCAGTCTTCAGTGTGACACCCTATTCACTCATTTCATAAGGCTTTTTAATTGGTCTCAGAAGATATGATCAAGTTTCATTAAGAGTTTTCAGCTAGGATGAAAAACATATGTGTTTTCCTCTATTTCGTCAAACTGTGATCAATTATGTTCTGTTCTTACAGTGAGAGTGTGGGATATCCGACCCTTTGCACCCCAGGAACGATGCGTAAAGATATTTCAAGGTCATCAACATACATTTGAGAAGGTATGGTCAGCAGGGTTTTACTGCAGTGACAGTGACTTCAATAGTACAGGCAACATGACATCAGCCAAACCTTAGGTTCTCTTGGGATAAGGTCCATATAAATCTATAAGCAACCTTACCACATCTTTAGTATTTACAGACTGCCCTGATTTTGCTGATAGTCATGTGAACTATACACTGACTGAATTCTTTAGTATCTGATGAAATAAGGAATTCTTAGACTGAATATAATCAGTTGGGGATCATACATATTTTAGATGATATTGTTTTGTAGTGAAGGCTGAGCACATGATTTCATAAAAATATCTTCAAAAATATTCATGATCCCATTTTTCACATCAATGGATCCCTAAATAGGATACAGACTATTCAGGTACCATAAATTCTTTTGTGATTAATTTGATCTGCCCAATCTGAAAATGTTTCAAAAATAAGCCATATAAGATATGATGTAAAATTTGGCCAAGGCACCAGAGATTGGAAGCAATGGATATGCATGATGCCGGTAATCACACTTATCAATTTAAATTTCAGAATCGTACACACTGTTGCTTTCTTTTATTTTAATTTTAACCTTTCCAAGCTGAAAATTATAAAATATTAACACAAAAATGTTGGCACCAATGGGTTACCAGTGCATTTTATGCAAGTTTTTCCATTTTCTTGTTTTCAAGTTTTGGTTTTCATTTCAGAATCTGTTGCACTGTTCATGGTCAGCTGATGGCAGCAAGGTGACGGCAGGTTCTGGTGACCGCTTCGTCTATGTGTGGGACACAACATCACGACGGATCTTATACAAGCTTCCCGGTCATGCTGGCTCAGTCAATGAAGTTGACTTCCACCCTCACGAACCAATAGGTAATGTTGCTTCACAAACTTGTATCCTTTGAAGTTTCATTTGTCAGTAGGACATCAGCTTCTCTGAAATCTAGTGGTTCCTGCACGTGACTGTAAATTAAGACTTTATTGCCTCTTTTATGTGACATGTATACAATCTAGTTTCCATGCCATGTTAACCTGAAAAAATAAAAGTGTTTTTATATGTTTTTATGCTGCACTTTACACATAACATACACAAACCAGGGTCTATGCTACAAGTGACCTGTGAAGATCCAGGGTAGAAAAGGTCTTCAGCAACCCATGCTGAATCGGGTCAGGTTTGCTGACTTGGTTGATGCATGTCATCATATCCCAATTGCATAGATCAATGCTCATGATGTCAATCACTGGATTGTCTGGTCCAGACTCAATTATTTACAGACCGTCGTCATATAGCTGGAATATCGCTGAGTGTGGCGTTGAACAACAGCCAAACAAACATCTATGCTACAAGTATGAATGTTTGATTGTTGTGGAAATTTGAGGACTCTTTGTTTCTTTCCAGTGCTCTCCTGTTCAAGTGATAAGAAGATGTACCTCGGAGAAATAGAGTGACCCATTCCCCAGCAGATGTATGGACTCAAAAACAAATGTGAAATATGACAGACACAACTGATAAACCTGACCAGTCTATTCTGAATATGTACTGGATGCAAGTGCATTGTGTACTTTGTGCCGTTCCACTAGGCTGTCCCACAGAGAGACAATGCGACACTGAAGAAGTACAGTATGCCATGTCTACAGGCAGTTGTTAGTACTTTTAAAACACGAGTTTCATTTTTTGATAATCAGTTGACCTCAAATCTACTGTAGTTATTGTCCATTACAAGCAAAGTGATAATGAAAGGTGATCCTTTAGAGGACAGGGCATAGCCCATTAGCCAGATCCCGTTCAACAAAGTGATCATTGCGCTGTGACTGTCGTATGTTAGTGACAATTGTCTAAGCGTTAAGATTGTTTTGTGAAACAGGGCCCTTATCCTTAGCGCTATGACTAATTTAAATCTATGCTAAAGGAAGGGAGTTACACCAGCGTTAGTGCTAGGATTGATATGTGGAACAGGGTCCTAGGCCTTAGCACTACGACTAATTAAAATCTATGCTAAAGCAAGGGAGTTACACCAATCTTGGCGCTAAGATTGTTCTGTGGGACAAGGCCCAGGTAAGTTTTCCTTGATGTTTGAGGTGTTTTAAGTAGAAAGGCTTGTTTATGCTATTGTTTAATGCAGTACTGTTACTTCCCAGGCAGATCAGTGGGGGTTGCCCATTCACATACTGCAGACCAGGGTGCCGTTGTACAAAACAACCTTAGCGCTACAACTGTTGTAAGTCTATGTTAAAGTATGGGACTTACGATCGCCTGAGCACTACGATCGCTCTGTACAACAGCAGCCAGGCACATTTTTCACATTGTCTCAAGAATGGTGATCAGAAACTATTCCTGTCAGGTTGAATTGAAAGGTGCATTCATCATTTGTAAATAAACTCATTGCATTGTATGATAAAATAAATATTTACAAGAGATCTTTTGGTGTTGAATGTTTATGCTTGAGTCAAGGTAAGGAGCTGTCAGACTGTTCATGCTTTACATCACTGCTGCATGCAGAGATTATAAAACACATTCAGGTTGAAGTGTGTGTGAGGAAAGGAGGGAGCGAACATGGACAGTATGCCAGTTATGTCACAGTATGTTTGCTTGATGTGGGAGGAAAGCCTGAAGTGATGCAGGTCTTAGACATTTACGACTTGGTAAAACCCACAAGCACGGGTATAGTGCTGACAAACCTAGAAACATAATCGGGGCAAATGGGGATTTGGACCCACGATAGTAGATTACTGGCATGCCCAGGGGATGCAACTCTGCACAGTGATTTGTGGCACCTTCGATGTTCGTCTACCAGGAATGAAAAGCAGCAGACATTCAGAATCCACTTTAAAGATATTCATTGAGTCATATTATACGGCTGTAAGACCTAAATTAGCATATGTTACAGTGTGTATGTATGTGTGTTTTTGTTGTTTAATGCTGCACTCAGCAAGTTTCTAACTATATGACTGCAGCCTGTAAATAATTGAGCCTGGACCAGACAACCAAGTGATTGATATTGTAAGCAAAACTCCATGTCATAGGGGTCCAATGACACACTGTGTTGTTGCCTCTAATGACCAGATCACTAGAGTAAACATTTTGACAAGACATCTCACGACAAAATGTTTTTATTTCACAAAGCCTACATCTGTTGTTTATGAAATGGCTGCTTGATGGGTCTACCTTTCAGCTGTTGAAACATTCTTACCCAAAGTCCTTCATGTAGAATCTGGGGCAGGTCTCAACTACCCTTGCTGGTCATTAAAGTTGATGAAATCGAGAATTGGGTTTATCCAGCTTAGGAGTTTGTTTTAAGAAATATTATGCGTCTTTGTTCTTATGGTGTGTATTGATGTTCATGTAATCAACCAGTGGTGTGCCAATTCAAGATGTGTGTAATTCGGATTACTGACAGGCCAAGGGACAGTCGGGTAGCCTAGTGGTTTAAGTGTTCGCTTGTCACACCGAAGACCCAGGTTCGATTCCCGACATGGGTACAATGTGTGAAGCCCATTTCTGGTGTCCCCCACCGTTACAAAACAGATTACTGACAGGCCAAGGGGCGGTCGGGTAGCCTAGTGGTTTAAGTGTTCGCTTGTCACACTGAAGACCCAGGTTCGATTCCCGACATGGGTACAATGTGTGAAGCCCATTTCTGGTGTCCCCCACCGTTACAAAACAGATTACTGACAGGCCAAGGGGCGGTCGGGTAGCCTAGTGGTTTAAGTGTTCGCTTGTCACACCGAAGACCCAGGTTCGATTCCCGACATGGGTACAATGTGTGAAGCCCATTTCTGGTGTCCCCAACCGTTACATTGCTGAAATATTGCTAAAAGTGGCGTAAAACCATACTCACTTGCTAACTGACAGACCATTATGAATGTCTACGACCTGTGCGTGTACAATCCACAAATACTTCAACACAAAGTTTGGCAATGTTTATTCAATACTGACTTCATAAAACATGTACCGCTATTCATTCATACAACAGCTTTTGAGCAAATATTACAATGTAAAAAACATAACACACAGAGTCCCACCAGGAAACACTAAAGGAATTAAATCTCCAGTTCGTGGTATATGATATCACTGTTGGAATATACTTCATTAAGTAATACAATGATAACCCTACATGCCCTAACGCAGAAGTTTGTTTCTGGTTTGAAAGCGCTGTTTTTTCATCAGAAGATTGCTAAAAACATGAATATTACAGCATGAAATGAGTGTCGAAAGCTGACAAGAAATGTCCAACCTATTCTACTTACTGCAGGAAAAAGGGGTTAGAATCAATCTCATTCAAATCAGATCTTATAGCAGTAGCAGTAGTAGCTATATTCTTTATTATGAATTGTATGTATTGTCTGGAGAAGTAGATTAGGAAAGCTTTGAAAGGTATTTTATGCCACTTAAAGATATTAACAAAATTCATTTTTTGATTCCATTTGCATATTCCTCACTCACTACATAATATTCTGCATAATATCACATATTGTTGTCCTTGCTCACAGGACAAATGTATTACTAGATCTTGCTTTTGTCATCAACATGTAAAATATTAAAAAATAGCACTCACTTAGCAGTTTAGTTCTGAAAAATTCAACATTTCTCAACTCCGCCAAGTTAAAAAAATAAATATCTACTAAAATAATATCAGGTAATATTATATTTTGTCAAACTGAATTACCTAGGACCATGAATCTGGTAAATGAGCAAAAAGATTTCAATTTGGACTCTTCACAGAAGAGTATATTACAACAAAGATATTCGTTCCTAATAAATAGCTTCTTTACAACTTTACACATTTGTGAAATACTAAAAACGGTTTTCCAATAATCTAATAATCTAATAGCACTGTAGCAGCATGATATGTTTTCCTAACACGATTAATATCATCCCCCCGCACCCTCCCCCCCTCCACAAATAGAGTCATACAGGTATTCCCTATCTAAATTTGGAACACTGAAGAGATCAACTTTCAATTAACATAAGAAGTCTACTTTCATCTATCACTTTATTTTTACAGAAATCATATCAAGATTAATTACTGATGAATAAATTAGACATTTTCACAAGCATACAAATTAAAATGCACTGTGCAAAGCTGATGTAGTACAAATGTCGAATATCTAACAGTCACATATTGGTACAACGTCCTACAAGATGCAAGTCACTGGATTCTTACATAGGTTTAGTAATAACCACATACTGATATGGAATAGTACATTCACAAACTTCACCGGTCTACACTAATCAATCTCATTAAAATAAGATCTTAGTTCTTGCTACCACTAAACAAAGATCTGAGGACATCCCATTACTGGTCACGTCAGAATGACCTTTCATCCAACCCATCAGAGCGTCGCTTACCAGATGGGGAAAGTGACAGTCGGAATGTGGTTTCTAATCATGGAACCTTGAAAAGGTCAACACATGGTATTCCAAACGACAGTTACAGGCTGGACGTCGTGACTCTAACCTTGTGCCGGGTACTGCCATACAATATCGGTCATTCCACAATTTTCTTTTGTTCAGTTTTCAAATTTTGAATCGATATATATGTTCAAAGCGTAGTCTGGATTGGAAGTCACTATTTGAAACAAGTGTCATTAACCTGGGGAAAGCTGCTTTCTGATTGGCTGATGTCAACTACTTGTTAGTTATTTCATTGGTCGGTCAAAGTTCGCGAAAGGTCGTCCTACCTGAAATGGGATGTCTTTAGATCTATATTTACCAATAGCGAGAACTGAGATCTGATTTTAATGAGATTGACCGCTAATGGACATACCAGAGACGTGGGTCCCCAGTGCCTGAGGTAACTACATTGAAGGTGGTAACAATAAAGGGCCCAGTTGTCTCCTGCAATCATGGCTTTGTCATATAACTACACACTCTGCAATATTCCAGCAGTCTGTAAATAATCAAATGTGGACATGACAAACCAGCTATTTATCTTGTGAATGATCCAAGCTGTTGAGGCATGATGACACTAAATCGTGACTAAGACTAAGTCTGACCACTCAGATGCATGAAGAGTTGGGGCAGAATAGGTCTTCAAGCAACCCATGCTTGTCGAAAGAGGTCACTATTGGGATCTGGTGATCACGCTCGCTGACTTGGTTGATGCATGTCATCGTATGCCAATTGCGTGGATGGATGCTCATGATTTTGATTATTTACAGATCACCGTCACGTAGCTGGATAGTGCGGAGTGCGGCGTTAAACAACAAACAAACAAACAAACCCATCAAGTGGCCTCACCAAGCAAGGGAACAAGTCAAACCTGGAATCAGCATGGGTTCGATCTTAAAACTACAACTTGTCCATCTCATATCTGAACATTTACTTACGAGAACCATGCCACACACACAACTAATACTGTGGAATGGGACCTTGGTCAGTTGTGTTTCTGACAACATGGATCACAGCTGGCACTGTTGACCATCCAGGTGTATAGTCCACACCCAATTAGTCAGCCACCATGATGAAATAGAATGGGTCCCTACATCTATGTGATCTGGTTAACTATGTAATTGTTCCCAGGCAGTCTGTGATGTGAGCCTGTGATCAACCACTGGTTTGGCAGATCTGCAGATTAAGCCAAATTCACTCACCCAATCATGTTTAAAATTTCTTGATTTTCACCAAAGTCTATTAATTACATATAGATTAGTTGTCTATGTTTTCAAACTTCTAATGATTATAAACTGATAAGAATCACTGATCATCGACAACCAACCACTTTTGGAACAATAATGTCCAGCAATTAGAGTTTGGTTCAATGCCACCCTGTAGACTTCCAGTTCATGTCAGCATTATGTGGGAGAATAACCCAAGGTGACACCTCAGTGAGTGAGTTGGGTTTAACGCCGCATTGAAGAGTACTCCACTTATATCACCTAAAAACATAATTGGGACAAACCAGGATTCAAACCCATGATCCTAGACTTCTGGCGTGCCCAAGGGATGCAACTCTGCAGAACGAATTGCGGTGCCTTAGATGACTGGGCCACCCACGTCATCCAGGTGACACATGACGCGTATCATTTCGGTAAAGCCCAAGATCACTGGTATAATGACAGTATAATGACTAGCCAGGCAGGATCCGAACCCACAATAAGTGATCCAGGCATTGCTTAATTTTGGTATCTTAGATAACGTGGCCGTCCATTCCCCCTCCTCTTTTATGTGTCTTGGTGTGGAATATCATACAGACTACCTTTAATAAATACACCATCTACCAAATTTACCACAAATCCATTAAGCATGTGTTTCCTAGACAACTGAGCTGAACTAGTTGGTAAGAAACAGTCTTCACAAGACCACAGCCTACCACAGTACAATTCAACATCAACATATTTTTAATGTTCAGTATGAGCCACAGATATAGAACAACACAAGAGGACAGGTACCTGTGCTTTCTTTTGTTGGTCTTTCCTGGAAAATGTTCAAAATGTTTCTAGACCTACACTAAATCTGTTGGCTGTCATCTTTAGCAAATAGCCAACACAGATAGATCCATTTTGGCCTATTCTTTGAATTGTCCAGTTTTTTTGTAATTTTTTAGGACTACCTTGTTTTCACCCTCTTCTGCATGAATGAAAATCATCTCTGAGTCACAGAAATAGTCCTGTTGTTTGTTTTCACAACTTCTGTAAACTTAACACACTGCTGATCAATTGAAAATGACATCTTGGCACATTCAACAATCAAGACAGTTATCTCCCTTTAGTCTGACCAGTTATCTCCCTTTAGCTGCAAGTTGAGTTTATAGTATCAGGTATGAATGTTTGTCTTCCTCTTGTTGAGATCTTCCATAGACTGTTTGAGACAGATCTGTGCAGACTCAAACTCAGGCTCAATGGACAGGGCTTGCTTCATGTCGCTGATGGCTTCATCAAACCTCCCTACAACAAAATGGAAATCTGGATGAAATGGCAATTACTCCTCTTTATTCATTACTTAGTTTCTGTTACAAAATGGGGTTGTTTGTGGAAAAATAATTAGAAATACATTCTTAAATTATCTCTCAAAAGTATTAGGTATGAAAATGATTTCAGGGAAGAGGATGTCTGTTGAAAATCTGAAAATTTAGTTAGTGTGACTGAAGCCAAAATACAGGATTTATGGCAAAGATGTAATAGAGGTAGAGGATTCGTAAGAATTACAAGATTTACTGAAAATTGTACATAAAAGCAATCCAGATGTTATTATTCCATTTCATTGATGCATGTGTGTTTATGTCACCTTCAACTATAATAATTAAGTGCACTTTGAGCAACTACATAGTGGATGAAAACAGTGCCTAACATATCAGCGGTAGTAACTAACACTTTTAGTCCACTAGTCCGTATAATGACAACATATAGGAAAACCCTTAAAAACGGCAAATTTCTACTAGTCCTTATGATACCTTAACTATTGGGCAGTTTGGCAAGGACTACAGGACTGGTGCCAATTTCTACCGCTGCAAATGCACTTTAATAATCATTATTTTATTTATTGACTAGATCATGTCAAGGGGTAATGAACATTGTCCAAGGCAGTCTAACCTACCAAGCCGGTAGTGTATAAGTCCACGGTTGTAGAAGGTGAAGGACATATGTTGGTCGCAGCCTAGACCTCTCGTATAGTCATTAATTGCCTCATCAAACTCCACTTTCTGGTACAGGATAAATCCACGATTGTTGTAAGCAAGTCCAAGCTTTTTCTGACTGAAAAGATGAAGACATGTACATGAATTCAGAATTCAATCGCTTACGTAAATGACTAATTCACAATGTAACACAAAACACAGAAAAAGTAAGGACTCCATCATCAATCATTTGGAATGACAAGCGATCAAACTGAAATGTTAAATAGACTCTTGCACATACCATGACAAAAATATTATTTCACAGTTTTTTCATGCAAAATATCTGAACTCCTTTGTAAACCCTGTTCCCTTTATATACATACACATGAATCACCATTGGCAAATCAATGTATGTCTGCAATCTTGTTGATAAGAGTTCACCAGTATACGTACTTGGTCACCCGCGATATACATGCATCATCCTGTTAATACTCCGGGATTTTCTAGACCTGCTCTGATTCCAATAATCAGCCCTAAATCTGCAGCAATTATCAGTAAACATGATTCCCAAATACAAAAATATAAATTTCCTAATTCTTGTCATAATACTTAAAACTAGTGTGATTAGAGTCTGTCCCATTCCTCCCGTGCCTGGCCGAGTGTAACCAACATGGTCGGCGGCTTATGACGTTGATGCACACGTCTCCCTATCATGTCCCCGATGTGTTCAATGGGGAAGAGGTCTGGGCTCATTCTATGGATGCTGTGCTGCTGGAGGTGAGCAATGACGATGAGTGAACGGTGAGCACGGGTGTTGTCATCCTGAAGACAAATGTCAATCCACACGCCTTGCAAACAGGACAACAAAGGGTGCGAGTATGTTGTCTCGATAGTACTGTCCAGTGACCCTTCCTTGCACAATATGGAGTGGGGTCCGGTCAGTCATAGTGATGTTACCCTACACCATAACTGCCAAATCTGTCACATGGTCTCAGGTTGACATTGGCTTGACATTCATTTCTGTCACCAGACACGTCCATGCCTATCAAGGAAGTGCAAAATCAATCTTGAATCATCTGAAAACGTGTTTCGATGTGGTGTACACCATTGACGTCTGTTAGCAGTATTACGATTTGTATGGGGTAGCACATCACATGGCCGTGGAGCATGGAGATGAGCTGCATGTAGACAATTTCTAATCAGCCTACTTGTAACTCATACTCCTGCAGCCTGATGAAAGTTTGCAGCAATTTGATTCTTCATTTGAGCTCGATTTCGTAGAGCCTTGTTTCAGATCAATCAATCCTGTACATTTGTCGGTGACCTGGGACACCCTGAACAGAGGCGATTTTCAACATTTTGGGTTTGTTGCTACCTGTTCCATAGTCTGCTAAATCACAGCCTGTGAAACATTGAACATATTGACCACTACACGCTGACTTCTGCCAGTTTCCAGCATGCCTGTAGTTGCTCTGCGTGTTACAGATGACCATCGCTAGTACATACACAAACAATGAATGGAATCAAGTAAATCCTACTGTATGATAAGCAGAATCAATAAGAGATTAATCGACCATCTTTAAAAGTGTCTAAATCAGGAATGACACGTGTGGCACTACTGTGTGAGGCATGTGCAAATATAGGATGGGTTTTGGTGTTAAGTTTTACAGACATAAACATGTTTGTTCTAATACTTCGTATTGACATTTACATTCCATAATCACTTTTGTAATACATACTTTGATACCACACTGACTGGACTGACTTTGTGTCAAAGTGATGATATAAACATGGCTTGAAGCAGATCACTTGCATTCACTTGCCACTCACCATGCCTGCTAAGTGAGGTGAGGTGAGGTGAAATTGGGTTTAACGTCGCGTCGCGTTAACTTATATAGCGACGTGCATGTACGTGTGTGTGTTTGTGTGGCTGCTTGTACTAGTCCGGACTGATGCCGATTTATAGTGCTAGCCCACTGAGATACCATGCCGCAGTTTAACATGAATACCCCAGTCGGACACAGTATACTGACTCCGAACCGACCAGTCCTTGTTTTAGCCCCTTAATGCCGAGAGCCAGACAGGGTAACAACAAGTACCATCTTTTAACGTCTTTTGGTATGACGCGACCGGGGATGGAACCCCGGACCTTCCGCTCTCCGGGTAGACACTCTACCACTAGACCACAGAGGCGGTCCCTGCTAAGTGTGTAAAGTGTGGCAAAACTGTCCATAAGAATCAGCCTGCACTTGAGTGGGACTCCTGTTCCAATGTTTAAAATACCCGTCTGCCCGACAGTCTGTTATGGTCTATATTGCTGATGGTCAGTTCTGAAAAGTTGCACACCCAATGGTCTGGCTATTACTGTATTCCCTAAATTACCTAAGCATTCTAGTTTTAATTCAATGTAAGAGGTAAATTAACTTTAGGCCTAAACATTAAACACATTATCGATGAATAAAATTTCAATGTGTTAAGTTACGCTGTTGACAATCCACCAGTTTATTGTTATTTTCTGAGAAGGAACATTAAACAGTACAATACTATTCTTTTGGTCACCCTTTTCTTACTTTTGTCCATTAGTCTAGAAAATTCTAGACTGGCAACATTTTATCTGGTCTGGAAACTTTGCAAAGTTGCCAGACTGGTTGTCTGACTGAAATTTTAGGGAATTTTGTACACTGCCTGTATGCAGTGGATTCATCAGATTGTGGCACAGGAATAAATGAGTATCCCGAGCTTGTCAACAGTGAGTCCAACAATGAACATCTTTGTTACATCTGCTCAGTTCCATTTTCCCTGATGACAGATGACAACGTGGACATGGAAGTTGGTGGAAATCTGATTCAGCTGAGTTGCTATCCATTTGTGGTAATCTGAATGACCCCTGTTACAGCGACGACTAAAATGAACACTAAAATGGCACTCTCTTAGTGTTGTCAGAGCTGCTGCTTTGTGCTACCTATCAACTGATGTTAGGCTGATGCCTAAACTAAAGTTAACAAATATTTGTCATAAAATGAATAAAGATGTAGAACATACCAACTATGTATTTTTATATTTAGAATGTGTCCATTTTGACTTCTTTTGTGGCCATTTTGACCAATATGTTTGTGGTCATTATGACTATGACTTGAAAGAAAATACATTGTGATACTTAGATACTGGTAAATGAAAACCCTTGTCTTATTATGGAACAATATTTAGTCATTGAGTACTGGGAATTCAAAGAAACCGAACTTATATACAATTGGAGCGAAGATGCCTACTCATCACTGATTTGTTTAATACATCTAAGTCATGTAAAATAACCTACAATCAGAAAATACTATTTCACATCCACTTTTACCATAAGTGCATGTCCTCCTTGTGCATTCATGTCTTATTTTGTATCAACACATGATCTTGGATAAATTCTCCCTCACTACCCAGCTCTTAAAAATAAAGTTTATGATAAACAGAAAATGTTGTTTAAATATCCAAACTGCTTTACTGCCCTATATCACTTCATATATTATTCTTCAAATGGGATAATTATTAATATATGTGTCAAATATTTATCATATAATTGTCCCACAGAACACATTCGCTATTCTAATATTTGTTTGTTTGTTGTTTAACGCCACACTCAGCAATATTCTGGTCTGTAAATAATTGAGGCTGAACCAGACAACCCAGTGATTGACATCATGAGCATCGATCTAGGCAATTGGAATACAATGCAGCAACCATTTCAGGGAGCCTGACCACTCGATCCCGTTAGTTGCCTCATACGACAAGCACAGTCGCCTCAATATTCTCATAATCTCTGTCTACAAATAATGGACGTCATTCGTTTTAAGTACCAAAATGCTTACTCCTGTTTAAGAAATTGTAAAATAACCGAAATAAACATTTCCCGCATAAACACGCCTTCTGTTAGTAACAAAATATTTAGTGGTGCATATAGTAATAGTTGATAGTAAAAAAATAACTATGATTTTAGATCTGACATGTTGAATTACATGTGCAAAACATGCAACAACTATAACTCTAGCTTGTTCCGATTGCAGGATGGAAAATAACTAGTTTCAATTCCTCTTCTCTGAAGTGTCATGAGAGAACTCACAGTGCGCTCCGTTCATTTTGGTCGTTGAGGTTTTTCAGCCTTATCGATGCATCTTCAATAAACTGTGTGTAAAATTGTAACGCCTCATCCCTCTTGCCCAACCTCTCCAGTTTCTCTGCCTCTTCAAACAACTCCTCCGTTCTCATTTCCCTGAAGTGAACGAGACTGAAAGACAATCGTCGCTTGCAGGAACTAAGGGAGGTCACTCTGATCTGCAGGTGCCCGTTTCAATGGAGTTGGTTGAGTTTTGTGGTTGTGAGCCCGCCTTCTTTTGACGGGGCAGAAACACATTCATATCAACATATAGTTCTTTATCAACATATAGTTCTTTATAGATTTTGTTTGGCCGTTACACACTTCCCCCGACACACACACACACCATTTTATTAATATCCTGGGTGATTTTGTATCTTGGTATCACGAATCACGTGGGTTTGAAAACTGTGCCATTCTTAGAACTGACCAGATTCATGCATTTACGTGTAGGTTCTGAATAAAATTTATAGGCGAATAGAAAATACTGAATGTAAGTGTTACTCACAGTATGGTACAACACAATACTAAAACCTTGAGGATTAACCGCTAACATCAGGGATGCTAGCATGAAACTATTTGACTGAATATTATGCTATTGAATCTGTATCTACATATCTAAATAGCCTTCAGTTTAAACTGAACGTAATCCATGTCATACCCTGATATTAATCCTTAAAGTTTCACAAATACCAAATTTAAAACAACGAGGCCTAGGAAAGTAATATTCGTACCTGTCACCACAAGAAATAAAAAGTCAAATTCAAGAACAAAACTCGCGAATCAATGTAACAGTTACAGTAGAAGGAAGACGGTTGACAGCTGAGTACGATTAATGAACTAACTTTGTTTGTTTGTTGTTTAAAGCCGCACTCAAAAGTATTCCAGCAATATGACGGCGGTCTGTAAATAATCAAGTCTGGACCAGACAATCCAGTGATTGACGTCATGACCATCCGATCCCGTGGGTCGCCTCTTACGTCGCCTTTTATGGCAAGCATCGTTTAATGAAGACCCTTCACGGGTTAATTAACTAAGAAATGGGGTTGGTTTATATACAACCAACACAAAATATGGGAACTGATGAAATCATAGTGAAGGTGTTATGACGATAAATGTCTGTAAAATTAATTTCGGGAGTGTAGAACAATATCTGGTGTGTCCACCATGTTGGGCGATACATGCACGACACCTTGATACCATACGTTATCAAATATTGGCCATTCATGTGGGCAGTATACTTAACAATGTTTAATTAACCCATGAAACTGATATTGACCGAGGCCATCTGTGAATCGGAGGCAAAACCTTGATTCGTCTATTATCATGGTGTTACGCCATTGGCGCACACACCGTCCCCTGTGTTACCTCGCCCATCCCAATCTTTGCCGTTTGGAGTAAGCTGTTAAGGTCACACTCTCCACAGGACTCCTTGCTTTCAGGCAGTCTGCGTAGAGACGGTTTTCAACGGCAGGTGTTGAAAGTCGCCTTCCTGTTAGTGTTCGGAATTCTCTATCGGTAAAAGGAGAAGACTTAAGTAATATTGCGTAGTGCAATATATGTAATGAGACAGTCTTGTTCTACGTATCGTATATTAAGGCCTGTCAGACTTCTTGATTTGCCAAACATTCGGGCAGCTTGGGATATTGACGTCTCCCTCCCTTCTGTCATACCCACAATTCGCCATTTTGTCTGTTCATTGAGATACTGTCTCGGAGGCACTTAGCTTTGTGCTTTCAGCACAATTCAATCAGTGATTGCGGTTGTTTGTTTGTTATTTATCGCTCTCAGCAATATTCCAGCTATAGGACGGCGGTCAGTAAATAATCGCGTCTTGCCAGACAATCCAGTGATTGACATCATGAGCATCGATCTACACAATTGGGATATGATGACATGCATCAACCAAGTCAGCAAGCCTGACCATCCAACCCGGATAGTCGCCTCTTCCGACAAGCATAGTCGCATATTACGGCTAGCGATTGTGAGTTCCCTTTTGGTGAACACACTTTAATTTCCATGTGCACGTGCAACACGTACAGTGTACACATCGCAACGATAGCAACATTCAAATCATTAGTTCCCTTATTTTTGTGGGTAGTATAATAATAAAAAATACTCAAAAGATGTTAAAGATTTATATACATGTCATTATAGATTAACTATAGTCATATGAAAAAATCGGGTGTTCTTTAACTTATTTTGAGTATTGTATTGGGTTTCAGTAGAATCCAGTACGATTCGTGATCTTTACGTCTTCATGTTGGGGATGTTGGAGATTTATCGAGCGCTTCCAGGGGGCCAGATTTTGCACATCTTTCCTTTTGTAAGTTCAAATAAAAGAGAAGAAAAATACATTCAGTATTACAGAATATGCATTATTTAGGGACATTATCGTAAATGTCACACATTGGATAATTGCTATCACAGTATTCAGTGTCAGGATGTTAAGACCAAGCGCTACTCATCCCCTCCATACAAGCAGAAGCTGAGGCCCCCGCTGTGCTGGCATTTGGCCTTAGAACTAACACGCGGGGTGTCATAAAATTACACCTACTCACTGTATTAAGCATTAAAGGACAAAAAGCCAAATTTGAAACATTCAAAATCTTCCGCGTGACATTTCACATCATTACTTGACGTTTGTAAATGGAGTACAAGAGATGCCACTCATTATGTAAGTAAAATCCTACTTATTGGTTTAATAACAGCCGTTCCTATGCATTTCTCACTGCACATAAAAATTCGCAAATCACCTGAGCAACCTACGTCAAATAATCACAATTCCTCCATACTGAAGTTTTCATTCGCCCACAAAAGGGGAAAAAGTGTCTCTGGAACAGAAGAACTTTATTTGGTTGAAATACAATATGACTGAATAAATTAAAAGAACCATGTCAAGGAGTACGCCATGCGAAAAGTGCGTATTTACCACAGGGGATTTTACAAACGCTTCCAGCATGGAGTTTTTTTCTCACTCGGAAAAACAGATGCTACATCTAGTGTACACGGACTCCGGTCGAACGATCCATGTTGTTGCTTGTTTAAGAGGTCGCCTTCTGCCTTGGTAATTTCGGCTGACCTGTCCCTCTTTGGGACTCATGTGCGAGTTGGGTACACATATCTGTTGCGAGTTTTGGTTTTCATAGAATTTCTGTTTTTGTATTGATATATTTTTATTTTCGTATATTGATATGATTTCATTTTTTAACTTTGGCTGCTCTGTTCATATGCGTTCGAGTAGCTGCACATCACTAAGAAATAGAGTTAGTTTGGCCTTCGCTGTTGCATCTCTCTGCTTTAGATCTACCAATATATAATTAAAGTTTTATACCTACCTGGTCAAAACGGGCCCAACTTCTTTTCGCTGTTGCTTCAGATATGCGCTGTTTTGGGGATTATGTAACAAAACGTATATTTTCTTAACCTTTGAACTTTCTAATCTATATCTTTCCTCAAGTAATAATCCGGATTAAGATTAGCTTAAGGGGTTTTCTCACCTTTGAGGAGATACCGTGTTTTTACAACAGATTACCGTCTGATAGACGGACAACACAATGGGGCATTTCAAACATATTCGTCACCCGTTTAAATTGTAATTTGAAAACGAACATTATACCCCCATTGCAAATGAAATATACTAGCAATAGCCGATCTCAACAAGGACCGATTGCCGTACAAAACCTATACGTTACAAACTATGACGGGTCAACATAATTACAAACAACCTCACCCTTACACAATGTAAGCTTCGATTTATCCACGTTCAGCTTTTGACATGACCCCCATTTGCATAAGGAAACAATATGAAAGATGGGCGTTGTAACTACCGGCGTGGGTAGGAGACAGGTGATGACAGGTGGTGTTTTATATCACAGCTGTCTGGCTACTGTTACAGTGCAACTCAATGATGCTTCCAAGTGTATGCTATAAGTATCCCTGTTTTTTCTAGACTAAACCTGATGTAATGTTACATGCACAAAGTGACACACGTGAATCTATTAACCTTCACGTATTATCCCAGTAGTGCCTTTTCACCAGAAATATCAATAATAATACATTTAATTTCTTACGTAAAAGCATCATCTTTCAGAAGTAAATGTTTCAGAAAAATGTATGTTGATTAGGCAATAAAAACACCTAGGGTCCCGTTCCACAATCCCTACAACTTTCCCAAGCCAATGTTAAAATATGGGAGTTACGTCACCTTAGCTCCTTTGGAAAGGGTAATGGGCCCAGATCTACAGAATCAATGTGGGAGTGATGCTTACCCAGCAAGTGAGTGAGTGAGTGAGTTGGGTATAACCCCGCTTTTAACAGTATTCCAGTTATATCGCGGCTTGTCACCTCATGTGGGAGGAATGCCCGAAGTGATGCAGGTCTAAGACATTTACCACTTCGGTGAAACCCACTAGCACCGGTATGGTGCTGACAAACCTAGAAACATAATCGTGGCGAACCGGGATTCAAACCCACAATCATAGGTTTCTGGCGTGCCCAGCAAGTAACATTAGAGCAATATCACAGCAATCTGAAGAGAATGGGGTCTTGGCAAGCCAGAAGCAGTGGCTGATAGCATGAGTATTGATGCATGATGTTGTGAAGCATAATGCATGAGGAACCAAAACATATTTCAGAATATCCAGGCTATATTAAGGTGGCCTTTAAACAAATGAGTTTACATCATAGTAAGTTGTGTTTTACATTGCTTCTAACAGTATTCCAGTTATATCACAGTGTGTCAGCTTAATGTGGGAGGAAAGCCTGAAGTGATGCAGGTCGCAGACATTTACCACTAAGGTGAAACCAAACTCATACATAGATTTATATGTGTTGATGAACCCCACTGTGCAGTGCTGACAAACCTACAAACAAACAGGGTGAACCTGGATTTGAACCAACAATAATAGGTTTCTGTGTGTCCCATAGAATTGTGGCACCTTCAATGACTTGGTCACCTGTTTTCCCGAGTTGGTATCATCAAAACCTGTGGTTAATAGCATGAGCAACCACATGATGAAATTCAATGAAACACAAGCAGTTTGGTCATATACTTTTGTATGCCCCAATTCCCATCTTATCCTGACACAAGCATTGCGGTCTCAGCATCTATGTCCAAGAACCTACAGAGAACCTTTAGCTCAACTAATTATGTTAATGTCAGGCCAA